AACATGATAGAATTATTGTAGGGCATTCTTGTTTTTCCACTTATGGCTAATTGATTATTTTTTATTAAAAAACGGAAAATCTTGATATTCCGATCGGTCTTATAACTTTTTTGATGTTATAAACTGTATTATCATACTATTTTTAAACTGCTCTTACTGTAGTATAACAAATTCTGCACTGAAAGAATGTTTTGCATTCAAAAATGTTTTACCAAAACCCAGATTTGGGACAGTTATCTATGGGACACACAAAATCTCGGATTCGAACCCCCAACATCGGCAGTAGGTAATATCTCATAGCATTTATTATTTAAAAAACATATGTTATATAGTTCGGTGGTCTTTTATCAAATATTTTTTTTTAATCAAATGTTTTTCTTTCAGTTGATTGATTTTCTGACACCAGATCGACTAGAACTTTTCCGGAGGCGAAATGAACACGGGGAACTAAAAATTCGATTGAAAAGAGATGGTAAATTGATATGTCGTATAGTGATTTCGAATTGTGAAATTGTTTGAAGAATCAATGTACGAATGAATAATTCTGACGCTTTCAACTTTATGCTGGTTTGGAAACGGATAAAACAATTTTTAATATTTGTTTTGTATCGTGTGTTAACTGATGTTTTTGCTTTCAGTCCCGAGACTATTAAAGCTTCATCTGACGCAGAACCGGTGGGCTAGCCAGAACCCACGGGTTCGAAGAATATTTGTCGCTTGCTAAGTCGCTGCTATTAATTTAACATTGATATTTTAAACGACACTGAGTCGAGCTAAATCAATGTATAAGTTATTAATAATTCCTACATAGTTCTCGCACTAATGAACTCACATATCAATGGATAAAAAGCAGTTGTCATACCTCGGTCTGGGAATACATTCAAAACTCATTTGCTTAAACATTCTTAAAATTAAGCTGTGGATCTTAAGATATGAATCTGTGATAGCATAGTAAATAACCTAATGTCCTAATGATAGAGTAGTCGCGTCGATAATATTAAATATCAACTATAATAAAACGAATTATTTATCCCGTTTAATTTGTTTTGAACTTCCGGCGTTTCTAGCTGTGTTATGACCATAGATATAAGGAAATTTTTAAAATAGTATCACTTGACGACCCATGTGGCGTAGTGGAACTTCTCTCTTGAGCCAAAGGGTGTAGGTTGGATCCCAAGTTCAGGAAAAATATTGTGTGATGTTACGTCTATAATATTTATTCATTTACGAAAGAAATGTATGTTTAAGTATGTTATAGTATAAACTTTTTTAACCAAACTTCGCTCAGTTTGGGAGTAGACAACGTTGTATTAAGCTGCCCCGAATACATTTATTTATGTATGCACATTTTTGGTTTATAAACAATAAATAACTTTTTTTATTTGAAAAGTTGCCAAGCGAGCAGGCGGTTCACCTAATTTTAAGTGAATACATGACATCTGCTGACATGACTGTTGCAGATGCGTTGACATGTTTTTGAAAATTGGGCTCCGGCTACCTCACTCATCAGACGAAATGCGAAAGTATTATAACTTCCACTTCACGCCGGTCTTCTGTGAGGTCGCGGTACTTACCCGGACGAGCCCACCATTCGTGCAACAGCCAAGGCTGCTGACTTATATATATTTTTTATTTGATTACGTACTTAACATCGTTATTCTGGATTTCAGCTGATTTCGCTCAAATCGCTACAGTTCGAGAATCAACAGTTATGACGTTAGTGATGCAAGTGTATTTAAATATTTTTTTGGCAATAATTCACCAAGGTCGTCCTCCACTGCGTCCTGTATTTCCGAAAACTATAGTTAACGATATTAAAAAGAAAATGATGCAGAAATAACTTCTTAAATAACTGCAGCGTTAGTATATTGGGAAAGAACATTCGAAAGGCACCTTCATTAATAGATTAGTTTATGTTATTAATTTTAACCTTAAAGAAAAAACAAATTTTTGGCAATAAAAAAGGTAATAAATGCAGCTTAAATCCTAATGAAATTTTCACCTATTTATCAATTGATAAAAAGAATCGTGCTAAGGAATTTTTTCTTGAGTCAATTCAAAATCCATATAATAAATTAATGTACATTTAAACTAACAAGGCTAGATCTTAATAGCATGATATAATGCTTCACTATAGAAAAAGGACAAATATGACATTTTATACAGTCATTTGTTGCATTTAACAGAGAGGGCTGGAATGATATTATACTATTGAATCCCACGATTTAACTTTAATAACCTATCTACACTTTACATCAAATATTTAGACTTAATTTCTAAACTTGACAATAAAATGATTTAAGGTTATTTAATTATAAATAAGTGATTAATATATGACAAAAGTGAATTGTGAACGTAATATTTTTTTAAGTATCAGTTTGCAGTGTAAGCAAGATAGAAGGAGGATTTTGTTAAGTAATCGGCGGATTGGTGGTGTTTTGAAACAGATTGGCGGATAAGAAACGTGCGACCCGCTGATAGATTAAGACATTTGTTGGGTTTGGCTTTTTTAAAATACTAAGTATCCATTACACAATCATTGTAAGAAATGTACTCCTATATTGAATACAAATTCGACAGGCGCATCTAGTTCCTTTCTTTCTTCGTCCGTGGGCGGGGTGGTATTAAGTATAAAAGAGGCGCCAATGCACTATATTAAGTATTACGTTGATCTCGGTACTGTGGTGCTCCGTCATGAAGGTACGGACGTGTGTATTGAAACACTAATGCTTGTAACGTGTTAAGTGATTCAAACCGTTTTGCTTAAGAAAATATTTTATTTTTGAGTATATATACAACTGTTATATTTTATATGTCTGTATACATTAAAGAAAGTTTATAGTTTTTTTTTTCAAAGTGACGTCGTGAGTGTTTATTTTATTGATAAAAGGATTTCGTTATAAACATTGCGTATGAGCGTTCTTTAGTACAAATAAGCTTCTGGTTAATTGATATTTTTGTCATAACAGATACCGGACATGACATACAGTTTTGAGATTTTTAAAAACTATTTATTTTACTTTGTTATATTTTAACTTTAGAGTAACGAATTTGAAACTTTTCAGTATGCTTTTTTATCAAATGAACCGGCCTATGCTTGATTACTATCCCAATGTTTTTAGGGCGCAGGAGAGAACATATTTGTTATTACTACTTGTTGCTCATTTAACAGTATTCATTAAATTTAATTAATTATTATCAACCATATTCATTAATTTTCTGAAAGTTTTAAATTCTCTGTTGACAATCTTTAATCCTTGTACTGTTTGACATCGACAATGTAAACGTTCCAAACAATTCGTTTTAATGTAAAAATAATATATAGATTAACTTAGTGGAAATCATAATAGACTCACTATTTCCTTGAAGACAAATTATATACTGAAACATACTAACGGAAGCCGAAAGAAAGTTTGCCTTAAGATTTATTTTGTTGCCAACTTAGATTATATATAGATCATGCCATCTATATACCATGTCACCTCAAGATATTATTTTAATAAAACAACTTTTTTCAACTTCTCTGGGTGAAGGCATTATTTTATAATTGCGTCGGCTAGTTTTGTGCGCGTGTATAAGAATATCGATTTATAAGAATTTACCATGAAAAACAACAAATTTCTCTGTGAATTGCTTTATTCTAACTATTTTTTTGAATGGCATGTTTGATTCGAATAAATTATTGTTAATGTAGCTGAAAAAGCTGCGTTTCGAAATCCCGGACTAAGAACTTGGTTTTCAGAATCTAAAAATAAACGAAGAAATCAAGAATTACAAAGAAAATGTCAAAAGATTATACACCTCCATTCATATTAAATTAAACACAAGTCATTATCAGTCCTTGAATCAATTAATGAGTAATTGTAGAACAAAGAAAACAATAACAGCTCTCAATTTTAAGCTTTTATTGAATCTACGTTCGCTTTACTTCAGACTGCGACTTTACATGTTCACTAGTATGGCAACGGGGATTGAACTCAGGTTGCTCGAGTATATTTTATTAAAATATACTCGAACGCCCGAACAATGAGCTAAAACGGCTCATAACAAGGGATAACAAATATATAAATAATTACATATAACGTACACTGCTTGTATGTATTTTAAACGAGTCATAAACAGCTCAGGTCCCTCTAGTCTGGCCTGGCCTTTCGTAAGCTTCTTTGGAGCAGTTCTCATTTAAACTTTTAACTTTTTTTTCTTAAAATCCTACAGCTTACTGATCTAATATTTACAAGATTAAATCTATCTAAAATTGCATATTATCTAATAAACCTAATCCACGCGGAATGGTGCCAAGAACGCCAGTTGTATTTCCTCGCTGAATAGTTATGCTTAACCTTTGAGCGAGAAAAGAACCAGCTCTCTTGTCATCAGCCGCGGCGTTAAGCCTAGGAGCGTTAAACCTTTATATTTTTCTTTTTAAACATTGCCCTTACTGTAGTATACGTCATCCTGTGTTGAAAGGACGTTTTACAAACATAAATTTCACGTGGACAAAAACCCAGATCTGGAACATTTATATCAGTTACACAAATACTTGTCCCGTGTGGGTTCGAACCCATGACCCCCGGTACCAATGCCAATTTCTTGCCACAGAGTCATCAAAATTTAGGTTACACTTGTCGTTACATTAATATTGGTTGTTAAATTAAATTTCTCACGTTAATAGTTGAGACTTTAATGTTGATGTCAAAAGTAAAATGACCTCTTTGTGTTATTATAATATCCAATATTACTGAACAATGCGCAACGGACGTCTTAATACCAAACGTAATAAACTTATCTAAAAATTTTACAATTTAATTATTTTTTGGGGGATGAAATAACATTTTTAAGCACATATTGAGGTGTGTGTATTGAGCCAAAGCGAAAGCCTATGCCTAATGGATATTTGTTCATATACAGGTCATCCTTACGTTTTGTTAATAAACAATAATATAAACTGTTCTACTTTTCTATTTGGTTTGCAGGCGTTGTTGGCAATTTTGTTTTGTGCTATGACGAGGGGCGCCTTGGGGAGTGCTGTCTCCTGGCCGGGAGCGGCTGTGGCCCTCTCATCGCCGCTGGTCAACACCCTCGTGCAGCCTTCGACTAAGAGCTTTGCGTACTCAACGACACAATACATTAACGCAGTAAGAGTTAATACTGGACTCTCTCTTATTGTTAATAATTGCTCTGATTTCGTAGCATTTTAAATACATCCAATATTGTATAAGTATGAATCAAATTTGATGCAACTTTAAATTTCCTCCAGAGATCTATTGGATAATGTAACCCCATAAAAGTACAGTTAATTCTAATTTATTATGCTTGTTCTTGTAAAGATTTTATTTATAACGTGACTAATAACAATTGTATCAAACGAATGATAATTGCAACGTTTTTCAGCTGCCCGCATCGTATTCCTATGGGATACGTCCGCAGTTTGCGTACCCAACTCAAGTGACAGCTTTTACACCATTACCTGGTCTACCGGCGTACTATCCAGTAGCGAGCGCATCATATTTTCCATCAAGCAGCGTAGTCTACCCTCAATTGTCGCCAGTTGCTCCATTTCAACCTCAACCACCAGCACCAAGTCCACCAAGCGCTCCCAGTGCCCCAGCTTCTCCAGAACAATCAGCCCCGCTACCCGAACAACCTAATGGAGACGCGGACACTACAGTGATCGAGTCCGCAGATGTTAAGTCCCAACAGGGTCAACAAGAAGAAGCCAGATCGGAGAATCCTACTCAGTCACAATCGACTGATAGAATTTCATCAGAGAGTGATCGAGCTCAACAGTCCAATGAAGCATTAAATCCTCTATATCGGAACCCACAAGTCGCCCAATTAGCTGCATTCCCTTCAATTCCTCAATTTCCACAAGGAAGCCGACAGCTTCCACAGTTGCCACAAGGAATCCCACAGTTCCCACAGTGGCCACAAGAAAGCCCGCAGTTTCCACAGTGGCCACAAGGCAGCCCACAATTACCACAATTTCCCCAACTGCCACAATTCCCTCAACTGCCGCAGTTCCCCCCTTCGCAAGGCGGCGCGTCTCCGCCACAGGCGCCGCAACTACCGTCTTTACCCCAGTTCCCTCCTTCACAAGGTGCTCAAACACAGCCTCAGCTCCCACAATTACCTTCGTTACCACAGTTTAACCCCTCTCAAGGCGGCTCATCCTCACCCCAACTTCCTCAACTACCATCATTCCCCCAGTTCTCTCCTTCCCAAGAAGGCTCAACTTTTCAACAACTGCCACAAATACCGTCATTCCCTCCCTCCCAAGGGGGCTCGACGTCACAGCAACTGCCACAAATACCCTCATTCCCTCAGTTCCCTACCTCTCAGCTGCCATCAAGTTTTCCATCAGCAGATAACTCAAACAAAGGTCTAAACGACGAAGATACAATTGCGGTGGAATCCGCTTAATTATAAGTATACATTTTTTATTATTTTGATAATAACACAGATTGAGTCAGAATTCATACAAATTAGTTAAAGATAATTACAAAAATTAAGATCATAAAATAATTGATAATAAATTTTTGATTGTAAATTTTGTCTCGTTTCACTATGATTTAAAATAAATTAAGTAAAACGTAATATAAGGATGGGAACAATTATAAGCAACTAAAAATATATATTACGTAGATACATTATATCAGAAAAGATTAGTTATAATATTTCATTCATAGGATTCTCTAATCAAATTACGGTTAAGAATCATAAAATGTTTTGAGAAGTTATTCCAAAAATTACTAGCTTGCTCGCCCCAGCACGTTTATAAAAAGTTAAGTCTTATGTTTAATGTTTCTGTATAATTAAGCAACTTTTTTAATTTTTTACAAAACCGATTTGGTTTGCAGGTGGCAACCAACAAACACTTTAAATACGAATTTCTAGCTTGAACCTCTAGTATTTTGTATGTATGTAATGTAGATTAATTTGTAGAAAAAGGGTATAATTAGGTACGTTCTTTTAGAAACTATATTGCATACAAGAAACTATTTTACTTCTGTATAATATTAAGCACACGTGTTATAAAGCATTAGGGGAATAATAATAAAAATAAATGTACTGGAAAATTTTTAATATGACATCATCCCTGGACCTCGTTGTGACCACCACCTGTCAATATTCCTTGTAGTCGAATTTTTTCCACTTAGACGCAGTGTAAAAAAGAATTTGTATGGGAGCCAATCTGTCTCGATTTGTACAGATATGTTAAAGCCTCCAATACCGTCGATAATAGGTGTAGACTTATGATTAGGGAGTAAAAGCCGTGCGCAGGTTATAGTGCATTCTATACCTGCAGAAATCTGAAATTAAGAAAAATATTTTGTTACCATAAATCAGATTGAGGTATGAATGCATTATTCGGGGGCACGATTGACACGATTTTATTACGCCATCTTACATTGATATACATATGTCTCATAATCTATTTATCCTGTAAAAGACAAATCTACGCGGAAAAAAATATAGCAGTGAGTTAACGCGTTTACACTATTTTTTATTGTTAACTTTGCGGTATATGAATAACTGATACATTTTTGTCAGGACTCTTATAAATTGAAGCTTAAATCAATACACACAAGTCAAGGAACTTACTTTCATAAATATATTCAACCGCGTAGGGGGTTTAGACCATACAGCGAACGACTCGTAGTAAAAAAAGGCCATCTTCTTCTGGCGCTTGGAATTTCTAAAGCAACTATTACCGGCTACGAATGTATGGCCACGCCAAGCCAACTTCTGCCCCTTCCAATGGGTAAAATATTGTTTGACTTCTGGGTGAACTGTGAAATTAATATATCATTTATTTTTATGAAATTAAATATATCTAACCTTTGTGGACCCCGGTTACCTCACTCTACAGACAAAACGGTACGGTCTTCGGTTTTCTATGATCCCCGAACGAGCCATTCGACAGCAGAAGCTGCTGCGTGTCTCTACTGAAGACAATTCTTTTAAAAACATATGTTATTTTTTCTCGTCCGTATTTAGTGGGTTTTTTTTTATGGAGCGATCACCGCCGCCCATGAACATTTGCAATATCGGATAAGTCACAATTGCGGTGCCGGCCTGTAAGGCCTTCTTGAAGGTCCCTAAGTCGTATCGGTCCGGAAATACCGCTGGCGACAAATGGTTGCACAAAGTTGCTGTGCGGGGCATCAAATTGCGTGAAAAACGTATAGTGGCTGACCACCAACCATCAAGGTGGTATCGATGGTAATTAGTGTTTCGACGAGTTGTACGCAATTTCGGTGAAATTCACCAGCAGGAATCAATCTGAACAATTCCTCAGAGTGATAAGCGTTTTTGGACTCGTTGTTATAATAACGTACCATTATCTTATAATTTTTAGTCACACACAACTTAACTCTGATCTCTGTGCGATATTTTCTATAGCCAGATGATTCCAACTGTCAAACAATTTAAACAAGGTCCAAAGATCTCGACATTGGAATGTAATATAATAAAAAACCGGCCCAGTGCGCGTTGGACTCGCGCACGAAGCATTCCGTACCATAATCTATAAAAACGGCAAAAAAACATATTGTATGGGAGCTCTTACTTAAACATTTTTTATCCTGCTTTTTTGTATTAGTTTGTTATAGCGGCAACAGAAATACATCATCAGCCTGGTGAAACACAGACAGAGAGCCGAGTCTTAGTAACAGGGTCCCGTTTACCCTTTGGAATCTTAAAAACTACCTGGGTCAGCTTGTAATAGCTTGAAATTAGCTGGATAGGGCTTCGGCATCGTGTTAGCGTTGATCATGCTGGTAATCCATGTGACGTAGGGGTACACGTCAATGTAGAGTGGCGGTTCCTTGTTAAACCGCCTCCTCATGGAGCTCCTTAAACAAGGCACGCTGCCCACCGATAACCCGATGAGTTGGAACATGCCGTCGGAGTCATGTCTTATGATCACCGCCCCAGAACGTATACCGCAGCCTGTTGTGCACAACGCGTTCGATAATATGTCGGTGCCATCCTGTTTCTGAATAAAAATACACAAAATCAGTTAGATGATTTACGAAAAAATACACCAGGAAACTTGTTTTATAAAAGTAGCAAAGAGACTATCTATGGTGCACAACGTTTTTTAAAATAATATGAAAAGTGATAAGCGAGTCATTAACGTAATTGTGTGATTTTAACAAGGAAAAACTCATATATAAATGAGAATTATCACAGTTGCTCTAACGAACAAACGCTATGAAATATTTCACACGATAGTTTAATGTTAAGCTGAGAGTACGTGACGACCACGGACAACTGCAAGGTTTATAAGAATAATTAATTCCATAAAATGTTATGAAAATATCATGTTCATATTATTTTAACCTCACTTTAAAATTATTAATAATGTTAATAAAGTAAGCTAGTTAATACAAAACATCAAAAATAACATTTTTGTAGAGTTGAAAATTAATTTTACAGTTATTTAAATGTTAACAAACCGATTTTATTCGACGCCGTCTGCAATCTTTGTGTGAGTACATTTTCAAAGTTCTTTGGGCCATTTTTTCGGTTTCTATCTCTAAAGGTACACCTGCAAATAATATGAGCCTATTAGAATATATAATTTATTTTCTATATGAACAAATTTACATTTATTTTTAAAATACTCTTTCCTCCCAGTCTTTTTTTATTGTTTTTTTTGTTTTTGATAATTTCTAGTTACGGGTTTGCTCTATTCTAGAGTAGATTAGATTCTTATTATCTTACTTACTGTTTAAATAATCAATCATGGATACTACCCTTCTTCTTCGTAATCGCAAGCGTTCGTCTATTGTTGGTAAGCAAATGGGCAGCATGTATGCTGAAAGAAAAAGTAAAATTTTCAAGTAAAAAAGGACACGTGCAAAATATTTGTGGTACGAATGTTATAAAAAATTCCTTACCCGATTTCAAGGGACGTACTAATTTAATGAGCGCTAAGCTGTTATGAACTCCGAATCTGTAAATAGATGGAAGTTATAATCAAGATAAGACGTTATTTTTATTTTAAATTGACTAATATCTTCAGCATTTCAGCCTCAAAGCTCCGTTCCTCTACACTCCTCTAATAATTAATGTTGCCAGAAGATATTTTAGTTATTAATGATCTTTCATTCTATGCAGTAGATTGACTAAATAACGTCAAATCAAAGTCAAAATTGCTTTATTCAATATAGGCTTGATTTAAGCTCTTATTGAATATCAACAAACTACCACCGATTCATTAAAGACCTGTCCAGAGAAGAATCGACTAGAAACTCTGTGGCTTTGTTATCATTTTTATTTTATTTATGTAAGTATACAAAATTATCTTATCCTTTAAACGAGCAATTCTTGTATAGATATATATGTCATCGGAATCTCGGAAACGGCTCCAGCGATTTCCATGAAATTTAGTATGTGCGTAGATTCGGGGGCGAAAATTCGATCTAGCTAGGTTTCATTTTTAGTAAATGTCATTTTATCCCTGTTTTCAGGGAATGAAAAATGTCATTCGAATATAACGGTAAATTTCGCCGCAAAAATAATGTTATAATATCTAGGTCGGTAATCGGGCGGCCCCAAAACAGACGGCCGTGGTTCGTGTCACGATCATTTACACACTCTTTTTTTACTTATTTTTCGATTCCAGATCATTGCTTTCTTTATATTTTATTTTTTGTTGATCCAGATGATTTTGTTATTTTTCCCTTTTTTTTAAAGTTGTTTCTTTTGTGAAAAACACCACTTCATATTTTCTTATTATTAGGTCGGTAAGATCGAAAAATATTATGCATATTTCATTACTCAGTAATTAGTATCTAAAGGTAATTTCCAAAATATACGATTTACAAAAAAAAAAAAACAAACCGAGCAAAGGTCGGTCCTCCAGGAACTTTAATAATAAAATCAGCAGCAGCCAGGGGACTTGCAAATGCAGAGCATTATTAGAGCAGATTTATTTCCAAACATCCTTATTCTCAATGTATTTTTCGACATAATGTCGAAGAATACATCTTATAGATGCCCTTTCTATTAGGGTAGCTTAGGTAATAGTTTTGTTTGTATTGAAATTAAATTTCTATTACGTACCTCGTATACTCAGGATGAGCAGTGATTTCGGTGATGGCGGTCTCGTAGTAAGCGGGCGAACACTTGGTCCCTTCCTTGATTTCCTGCATCGTTAATGAACACTCGTCTTCATCCCGTTCGTAATCACCAAATATAACGTTACCGCTGAAATGCACATCGTTTACTTTGGATTAATAAGTTCAACGTTAATTCTAAGTTCAAAATATTTCAATTGTTCATGTGATTTTGTATGTTTGAAGAGGGTAAGTATTTTAGATTAGCACAAATTATATTAGGGAAATCTAGTGTTCAAATATAAATTTGATAAAGAAATAAATCAAATATGAAATTCAGTTGAAAAGGGAAACTTAATATCAAGGAGGTAAGTATTTTGAACTATACTATTGTGGTGGAGACACATCAGTCCTGTTACAGAAATGGGCTGGCTAGTCAAGGAAAATATCAAGAACAAACTTTTGCATTTCGTCTTGTGATACAGATACTTCGGTTATACCTCTTAGAGTTAGAAAAGCCACCCTATGAAACCCTATGAGTGTCTAGAATTAAAACGATCGTTAATCACTTGACATCATGTGTAACGCCTCTTCGTTAGCCACCTTCTCGAATAAGAGAGATATAAGATAAAGAGTAATTGGTTTGATTGTATGTCCCATTCATTCTTAAAAGATATTGAATGGATAATATAATAATTAACGTTGCAAAAACGTATTCCCTTATTAGGTGTGATTAAGATTTGTATTTACTGTTTTTGTCTACTAGTCAAAACTGAGCTGAAGCAAGGCAAATTATTTGGGTTATATGATATACCAGGATGGACCAAAGTTGCAGAGTTAAATTACAAAAAGGATTTTAAAAGACTTACAGCTTATAGTTTTTCGGCAGTAGAAAAAAGTCGTTTGCAGCCCCAAGCACGAAATGTTTATGAATAAGTACAACTCGAGGAGCTTTAGATTGGTTCGGCAAATCAGTGGTCACTATTATCAATTAAAATATTTGGTTAAATAAGACTAATATACGAAACATAATAAAACAGGTTAAAATTCCTATTATAGTTTGATTTAATCATATGTAGTGTTCGCGTACATATTCGTACAAGATGTCTTAATTACAAAATTCATTTTAACTGTTCATGATAACAATTTTATGTTGTTTCGACCATGTCACGTGAATTTTAAGTAAACATGACGTATGATAATCTAATACGTTTAAAGTATAAACTTCAAGTTAAAAGTTAGGCTTTAAGAGAAGCAGGCTCAATGAATGAGGTTTATGCTAAAATTTAAATTTAAACAAAACTTTACTGTTTTCATAACTTAAGTTGTAGTTACTATAAGGTACACCAAAGGAAAATAACAAATGTTATCAAAACTAATGTAAATAAAAAATGTAACGTACCATGTACATAAAGAACGAAACCAAGCCATTTGTACGTGTGAGATTCTAAAATGCCATCTAGAGGTTTAAGCTCAAAATCATCATGGCAAGTGGCGAAGTCACGAAGCGTACTCACTACCTCTTTCAAACACACTGCAAGGACAACCCAGTATTTTAGCAACGGCTCACTTAAAAAATATCCGCATGGAAAACATAATAGAAATCACTAACATGCAAAATAAATCGATTCGTAAACGTACATTTCAGTACAACGACCACTGAGTATTACCGGCACGCTTTAGATCATTTCTTTTATTATACATGCCTAGCCTTAAGAACAATTGTTGATAAACAATTATTGTAATATGAACTTCTTATTATTGCTTCTTGCTCGTCAAAGTAAGCATGCACGTGTTCAAATAAAAACGTCTCACTATTTATTTTTGAATAAACTAAAAACAAAAATAAACGATACAGTTTCAGATTTGATGGAATCATTCGCTGTACGCTTTGTCTTTATGATAGATGCATCGTTTGCAATGGAAAACTTTTATCTAGTTTTAGTTACCAAATGGTATGAGATACGTCGAATAATATACTCTAAGGATACAAATCTTACAAATGGGAAAGAATTATCGTTAAGTGAGTTTCTAAAGAACTAACTGTATAATATGTTTTAATAGGGATTTAATAAAAGGTCTGTGATGTGAATGAAAATGTTTTATAAGATGTAACTTATTTCCAAAATAAGTTCACCTTGTTCCAAACAAATAGCAAAAACACTGTATTGTTAGTTTTTTAACTCATTGCTTACATAGTAATGTTGCTGTAACTTGTATTTTACTATTGAATTTGAAAAACGGCTAATTGCGAGTCGGACTCACGCACGAAGGTTCCGTACCTATCATTATCTATAATAAACTCGTTGGTAAGTACTAATAGGTTGGCTAGAAACTGCATCTGTGAAAATTTCAACTGTCTAACTATCTCCGTTCATGAGAGCCTAGTGACAGACGGACAGACAGAGGATTCTTAGTAATAGGGCGGGATCCGACTTTTACCCTTTGGCTAAGGAATCCTAAATAACGTTATGCATTCATTGTTGATGTTATATTTAGCCGTTGATATTAAAAAAGCTGCTGAGCAGTAGCAGGTCGGTTTCACACACTCGTACAACAAAGCGACGGTAGCGGTAGTGACTGTGAGTTTACAGCTGCTATACAAGGAATAACAAGCCTTTGATCAACGTGCAAAAATGTAAATGGTAAGCTAAACATGCAGCTAATCCAGGATCTATTGAGCGAGCAAATCAAGATGTACATCTACTTCTCAATCAGTAGCACCGTGATATTATTTAAATACCAGAAGACTTACCAGCAGCTGCTGGTAAGACTTCTGGTGTGTGTGTGTGTGTGTGGAAAGTGGGAGCTTCCTTAAAGAACAACATCAACACTTCGAATAATACATAATCCATTTCTTTATGAACAAAAATATATTAATTAAGAACTCTACTTCAACTCTTGTTACAAAAACTGTCAGCGACAATTAAGCATTGTGTTGTTTGTGCAAAGGAATCTACTGAAGCCCATTCGTATAACCTTTCAAAAATTTGTTGCGCGCATATTTTTGTAGTAATACAGTAAGAGAAGAATATGGATCGAAAATTGCAATGCAATTTATTCCAGTAAGAAGAGAGAGTTAAAGATCAAAGCGTAATGCTGTAAAAGACCTTTACTCGTAAAGTTTGACTGAAAAAATAAAAGCACTTACTTTGAAGAAATTTAAAGAGGCGTTTGTGGATTTCACAGTTTTGGTTGATGTGCCTAAGATAGACGTGGGGATCGTATTAGATATAAAAATAATTTATACTGAATTGGTACCACAGTTGTATTTACAAAAGATTGCCTACTTGATTACTACATAGTACATGAAGGATCAAGTGTAACTAATTATTCATTTATATTTTAACTACGTAAATCTTTCTTATCTGGACACAAATAGTTTTTCAGCAGACGGACACAAATAGTTTGTCTAGACGAAGTGCAGAGCATCCCGATGCCATTGCTCCTTTGTTCGAGCGCAGTGCCTGCTCGTCGACGATGAGCAAATCAACGCATAGATTAATCAGTTTTAATTAGTTGTAAGGTCTCATTTGTTTAATTGCATGTCATCCCCGTTCACCTTTGTTCGTAATTGAGGCAATACACATTTTTGTGAAGTCCCGAATTTCGAGTATCCTTGAAAAATCCCTTGAAATTACGGAACACCTTGAAAGCAAGTCGTAGTCATAGAGATCCATTCAACTATAGCCTGCAATTCTAAAAATTAGCCGGAAATTCGTCGGATAAGTTCTACGTTTTCGTAGAGTGGCTAGCTAGTATGGTAAAGGATAATTGAATATTATAATTTAAAAATAATCTTTTAAAATACCAAACTAATTGCTCACATTTGTTAAATATTCTTCAAATATGTTATAAGATTGTGTTATAATCGATATCCAACTTATGCTTTGACAGAATTATTTAAATTATCTGTAGCTTATTCTATGGTAGAAGTCAAATAGGATAGGGGATTTTAGTATCAAAATGTATGTATTTAAATTTTTAGGGTTCCGTAACCAAAGAGTAAAACTGTTTGTCGGTCTGTCACTCGGCTGTATCTCATGACAGTTGAAATTTACACAAATGATTTCACTGAGTATTTCCGTTGCCGTTATAACAACAAAGCCACGCAGCAGAAAGCTGCGTCACTCTATTTTGGTTAGTTCGTCGGGCGTCATAGAAGATCAGTGTGAAGTAGAAATATCTTAAGTTTTTTATTTCGTATGGCTAGTTAAAGCAACACCACAGGAGCCGTACATATCCAAGGTCCAAGCTATGGCTTAACATCAGGCGAACCATCTGCTATATTGCCCCCTCTATAAAACACGACGATGAGAGACCATTACTATACATAGTTTTTATGTGATACCTGGCGACACAACATTTCCTGTGATGACCACGCAAAAAAGGGTGTGATCGTATTTCCTTCTTCTTCATCGTTCCCTCACTAATGAAGATCGTGTCCATATGTAACTTGTCGCCATTTGCTTCTATCCTGCACCAGTTCAATAGATCGTTGTAGATTTTCTCCTGTTGCCTCTACAATACTTTTATTCCATCGTGTTGGAATTCGGCCCCTGGTGCGCTTCCCCTGCATCTGTCCCACGATCAACTGCTTCTCCAGCTCATGCATTTGTGATCACATTATATGTCCGAAGAAACTTAGCTGACGTTCTCGTCGCATATAGAGGTAAGTCGTTTTTTGATGTGGATCTCTTGTAAAATTGACGAGTTTGTCTTCATGGCTGTCAATGGTATATTTAGCATTCGTCTCCAGCACCACATTTCGAATGCACTTATTCTGCTTATGTCTCGACTTTTAAGGCTCCAGGTTTCAGCTCCGTATAGAAAAAAATAGAGAAAACTAAGGAATACTAGACGAATTTTGGTAGTCCGACGTATACTCTTGTTCCTCCAAATTTTCTCGAGGCTTGCCATTGCGCTTTTAGCCATTCCTATACGACGGCGCAGCTCATTAGTACGTACCGCTGTCCTTCGTAATGAGGGATCCCAGGTAAACGAATGGATCTACTTTTTGGTAGTTTCGTAGCCCTCCAGGCTAGTGAAGGATTAAGTTTGTGTTCCCGATCGTATGAGACACAAGAAATTACGGTGGTAGGGCCACACAGCAGCCTCGGCTGTTGCACGAATGGGCAGGCGAGTCTGGGTACCACGACCTCACAGAAGACCAGCGTAAAGTGGAAGTACTTTCGCGTTTTGTCTGGTGAGTGAGGTAGCTGGAGCCCAATTTTCAAAAGGTTGTCAACGCATCTGTAACCCTCGGGTGTAGCAGAAGTCCATGGGCGGCGGTACTCACTCACCATCAGGTGAACCGTCTCCACGTTAGGCAAACTTTCACATAAAAAAAATGTTTATATGTTATAAATGAGTGTGTCTACGTTTAAAATCTAGATCGGTTTTCTAAATTGGTTATTGTTATATAAGTAATTCCCTGTAATTCCCCTAATTTAAACTCGAAACACAAATGAAGTAGTTTTAATGTTTTGTCTTCAAAGCCTCGGGATGTCATATATTATAATTTTAATATTTAGAAAAAATCTTTAAACACTGTCTCTTTTTAGTGTAGTGTAATTTGGAGTAGTGAAGTGTATTTTGGCGGCACTATAATGTCAATAGTACAAAAATCCGTAAATTTTTTGAAAAAAAAAAAATGAGCAATATTTTATTTATTGAACGTATGTACAGAATAAATAAAAAACTAAAGATGATGTTACTTGAACTTTTAATTGTTTTATTTATCTATTTACATTATTCATATTTTACACATAGTCCACGAAACAATTACTTTGGTTCATCTTTATCCACACACCACGCAATTGTATACATATTTAAAATAGTATACATCGAGATAAACAGTCTTTTCTCATTACTTTAACCAAGCACCTGGGCCACGTTGCGACCACCACAAGTCGACGTTGCTTGCGCTCGAATTCTTGCCGTTGAGACCAAGTGTAAAGTAGAAAGCCTTGGGGAACCAGTTGGAGTTCAGCTGCACAGTAATGTTGAAGCCCCCAACGCCGTCTATGACCGGAGTTTGCTTATGATTCGGCACGAGTAATCGGGCGCAAGTGATGGTGCATTGGATCCCAGCGGAGATCTGCAATATTAATTGCATAATTCTTTCAAAACAAATCACGATCTCGCTGAAGATCGGTTTTAAGTGGAAATATTGTACTTTCGTGTTTCGTATAGTGTTTCAGATAACTACGGTTAACAACAAACCTGCAACCCTACAGGTATTGTTTTCTATGGTAGGGCCACGAGGCAGTATTCTCTGCAGCACGGATGGACAGGTCCGTCCGGGTACCACGACCTCACAGAAGACCGGCATGAAATGGTAGTGTCATACCTACTTCTGCGTTTCGTCTGGTGAGTGAGGTAACAGGGGCCCACTTTATAGAAAGCCGGTTCCGGTTATTTTTTTAATTATTATTAATTATTGTTTTTTCAACTGTACCTTAATAAACACGGTAACCTTAGCTTGAGGACCGGCTTCCACCACGAATTTCTCGGAATAGAAAAATGCAGTTCTACTCTGGCGCTTAGAACTTTTATAACAGTAATTGCCGGAAACAAATGTGCGACCTTTCCATCCATATTTCTGTTCCTTTTGCTTCTCCATGTATCTAGCGCGAATACCGAAACCTGTTGTGTAATTATCATGATCACAATATTTTTTCTTTATTTTTATTCAGATGAAAAATTATATGAAAATCAATTGGAAACCTAAATGACCTTGTAAAGTATAGTTAGAAAAAAAAATTAACAATTAATTCAAATTTTAATTCATCAATATTCGGAGGAGCCATGATAGCTCATTGTCCAGGCGATCATTTGTAGTTCAATATACTTGAGCAAACTGATTTCGATCCCCTGTGCCGGCACTTAATTTTAATTTTTTTTTATTTTTTGTAATTATTTCGAAGATATGTGAAGTTCGCCAATACGCAGTGGGGTCGCGTAATGGACTTTGCCCTAACCTCTGTACAAAGGAGGCCTTTGCCCAAAAGTGGCACATTAATATATGCTGTCACTTTTTTTTATTGTAAATTTTATTTAAGGTATACACAAATAGTGCCAGAAAATTATTGCAACATTTTTATGTATTTACATGATTTAAAAACATTCAATCGACAAAAAAATTACGGGCTTTTAACACCGAACAGCCGGAACTAGATTTGGTAAAAAATCTTTTTAAATAAATAACAATATTTACCGCACTATTAACCAGTGCCCACTTACTTGAACCTCCTTCGGCGATGATGAAATTCTCGGGGTACGGACGCGGCAGGAGGCTTGCGGAGATAACGCCCCTAATCCACCTGACGTAAGGATACACGTCGATGTAGACTGGAGGCTCGTCGTTCAGTCGACGTCTCATGGCGGGTTGCTGGCAAGGTTCACTGCCAGCCGCCAGCCCAATGAGGTTAAACGGCCCCTCGACATCGTGGCTGACGACGGGTGCTCCTGGTCGCATGCCACAACCAGTGGTGCATAGCAAGTGCGTGATGCCCTCACTCCCGAATCTCTATTGATGGGGCAGACGACAATGACAGTCAGACAATATGACAAATACTGCTTATTTATTTGTTCACTTCATTAACGACAAACAGGAATAGAAGACAGATTAAAAAAGATTAAGATAAATCGCGCTGATATTTACACTTGTTGCTACCTTAATTAATGCCTCACAGAACAAAATGAATTTGTTATTTTATATATAGTACATTTAAAATAGTTCTATTATAATTATCGAGGGCCCAAATAACATTTAATAAAACGTTATAACTACACAAAAAAAATTACGATCAATATTGGTGATAGAGAACAACAAGCATTAGAATTGTCTTTCAAATTAAAAAGAAACATAGAGAGTGAACTTTTTATCAGCACTATAAAAATTATTGAAACGGAAAACTTTCTTTGTCTTTTTTAACAAATAGTGATTTGCAATGGTGTAGTTACAATATTTAATATTATATAAATTACCCTTTTTATTCGATGTTTTCCGCATTCCTTATGTGAATATAATTTTAAAGTCTTCTTGCCCATTTTCTCGGAATCGATATCTACAGGTACGGCTAAAAGAAGTTTAATGGTCTTAGAAATAAGAAAACATTAAATCTTAACCAGAAATATAAAAGGTAAATTGCATGAAATACGAGTATTCTGTTTAGAATGACATAATTAAAGAATCATTTACCGCTAAGATAGTCAACCATGAAGACAGTTCTATTTTTTCGTTTCACTCTCCGTTCAAGTAACGTAGGTAAGCAAATAGGAAGCATGTAAGCTGTAAATGTATAGACAAATTTAGATAGTACGTTCCATGGATACAGAAAATTTTTTTTTAATTAATATATCATTTTTATTTTGCTTACCAGATGTTAGTGGACGCAAAAGCTTTACGAGTGCCAAACTGTTTGCAATTCTGAATCTGGAAACAGATAGAAGTGAATAATTGAATGGTTGCCGTTAGTCTAAATTGTAGGCAAACGCAATTAGGATGTTGATTGATAGAAACATTGTGGTTGGCCACAATGGGGTTTTCGTGAGTCCACCGATAGCAAAAAAGTATTTTGGATGAGAAGTAAAACCACCCACGGCTCTTTGAATGAGCAAGCTGATCAAAGAAATCACAACGGCCGCACATAAAACCAGCGTAAAGAAGAAAGATTCATAATTTTACTTATCTTGTTATAAGGGAGCGGAACCCTTCGGTGCGTAAAGTTGAAAACTTAACCCTATGTGTATTGTACCCACGGGTGCATTAATCAATTACTATCAGGTGAACTCTGCAGGTTTGCCAAATCTTCTCCCATAAAACACATCACCTGGTGAACTCTGGATGGGGTATAATGTCTGTGTAAGGTATAACGAAGTAGGCTCGTGGGCAGTTAAGGCCTATCTTGATTTGGTCCCGGCTCAGGCCGCATTCATCTTCGTCGCGTTCGTAGTCGCCAAATATAATATTGCCCCTTAAAATTTTGAGAATTGTATTATTCGTGTGAACTATAGTCATTTAACTTTTGATGATAAATTAAAAAAACATGAGGTTTTAGAAGAATAGTTGATACATTAGAATACTTAGTAGAATTTAGTAGAAATAGAACTTTGGTAGGTTCGCACGACATCTTCTGCTGCCCTACTTCTGGATAAGCTCGTCCGGGGAAGTAACACTAACAGAAGACTAGCGTGAAGGGTAAGTGATATACTTTTGAGTGTCGTTTGGTAAGGGAGGTAACTGGGGCCCAATTCTTTGAAAGGTAACTGCTACCCTTAAAAAGTTTTAGATGTCCATGGATGGCAGTAATCTTTTTTCTGTAAGAAGATAGCAAGCGAGCTGGCGAAGACCGAAGCGAAGACCTAATAATACTTCTGTACTTTTTATCGTCATTATATTACTATTCTCCCGGCCTTACGTCTGATATTAAGTGATTTTTACTGTAGTTGAGTCACGCTACAGTTTCGGCTGATGCACGAATGCGCAGCTCCGTCTGGGTACGCACGTACGTACACGTTTTCTCAGAAGATCGGTGTGAAGTGGAAGCGTGATACTTCTGCTTTTCGTCTTGTGTGTGAGGTAGCCGGAGCCCACCGTATTAAAAGTTGGCAAAGCATGTGAAAGAATATGATGTTGCAAATGTCCATGGGCGGCCACTTTCTCACATAAAAAATTACGAAGTTTGAAGAAATTGAACGAAGGCTTATTAAAAAAAAAAATATGTGAATTTTTAATAATACTTTAAAATGATAAATATTAGGATCGACTCGCTTTATGTCCTTGATATGGTAATCCTAACTATTAGAAACCATTTTTTAATTACTTTTTGTCACATTACCAATCTTGAGCATGTGCCAGTATTAAAAACATCGCCTGTATTGTAAGAGTCCGAACTTCATAAGAGTATTTACCGGCGTCATTAATTTTTTAACCCAACAGTTTGCTATAGGGGTTTTCATTTCACATATTTTGTAAAGAAATAATAGTCTTTCATGGAATCAAGTGCTCGGCCGTGAGCATATAGATACTTAGGATTAGAATTTATTTCAATACGAGTCATAATATTTATCTCTTATTAGCACTTAAAATGCCTACACATCTTTAAATATACCATTTCAAAAACTTATATAAAAATGTTTACAATAACTAAATAATAGTTTACATCGGCTAAATAATATTAACTTAATAAGATTTATTAATAATATTATAATAACATATTACTATCATGCATCTAACTAAAGTGTATATTTAGAGTTATCGAATGGTTTAATTAATTATACTTACAGTTTATAGTTTTTTGGCAGGCGAGGAGCACTCGTGGGGATATGGATTGATGGGGTAGCGATGTGGTCACTGCATAAATGATACAAAGTTGAAAAAAAGTCCAGTTTCTTTGGTCTCTCAATTACCTAGCGCTACTTTCCAAGTTGAGTCTTATAAAATAGTGCATAGGACTGAACTTAGCAGTTATACGAAGCCAGTGCTAGTTGAATATTAATGGGAGTCTCTTAGAGAAGCAGTTTAACGGTAGAACTTAAATATGACCCACGTTCGCATTCTCTAGAAAGACATTTACTGGGTACTAACATAATTTTCAAACATCTTATAACTATTGTAAGATAACTTGAGAGATTTAGGTATGATTCAGGAACACATACAAAATGATTTATACGTACCGTGGATATAGTGAACAAAACCTAACCACTTAAATGTGTAGGGGTTAAGGATACCATCTGGAGGACTCAAATCGAAATCATCATGGCAAGTGGCAAAATCACGTAGCATGCTTACGACAATTCTCATGGATACTGAAACATTATTTTTATTTACTTATTACCGAAAGATAAAATAAATGATTGCTTAATAAGAACTAAACGTACACATAAATAGTATCGATTTACAAACGTCCATTTTGCACCGCGATCAAGAAATTCTGTGTGGAGTTGGTTTGTTTGTAAATAAGGTTTACCGCCGGATGATTTTTCTGACACTGCGATTGGAATGTACACTTCTAAATATCTGAACATTCGGGTATATAATGTTCCCTTGTATTATTTTAGTATTTATTGTGCTATAAAATATTTTTTACATCAATAAATTTTTACTTCGTTATTTTAAAATATTATTATGAGAGTTAGGGGTTGCGAGATTAGAGTAAAAAGCCAGTTTGTTAATCTGCACTTTATTCAGACACTTCAATAGATGCGATGGTTCTCTTGTTGTTGCACAAGTCCTTTACTTACACTTCTTGCTTTCTTTTCGTCTTCTTCCTCTCATTTTCAATTTCCAAACCAAACCCAGCCAAATATTTCAGTTCAGGTCAAAGTGGCTACTTAAACAGAACGCCGATTTCATATATAATGACCTAATAGTTACCTCGATATATAACATTTCAAAAGTAAATATTAAATAACATATACACTGCATAATAAACATAAGCTATTGAACACCCGAACAGAGGGTTTGTTTGTTTGATCAACAATATTTGTAAACATAGCAGAACAGAATATTTATAAAGCAGCTATTGGATTTCACAAACCGTTTAATATGCTGCCTGTGTTGAATCGTGGATATCATGGGACACCACTTATTGATTTTTGTCTGCATTATTTCTCACTTTGGTACGTAAAGAAAAAAAACCTTCACCAGTCTTTTTTTTATAATGTGCATTATAGTATTTTAATTAGTGGCAATCTGCGATATTTTTAAATATTTAGTTTGAAAGAAGTTTTTCTAAATAATTTTATTCGGTGTATCAACAAGAAGTAACAATGTATTTGTTCACATGTTTCAGTTGTACCTGGATGGTCTTGGGATGTCCTTTCAAACATGGGAGCTAGGCGTCAAGAAAATAAACCATATAGTGAGTGTATATCTCAAATTATTTAATTTTTTAAAATTTTCATTCACACAATCATGTCGCTTCATTTTTTTTAAATGGACCAAGAGCGAGGGCAAAAAAAATGCTCTGAATTTACTAAAGTTGATTTTCTGCCACTTGATTATAGTAGTTGTGTACACACATTTAGTGCGGTTTCTCAACGTAGAACAGCCGTCTCATATGATTATGATATTAAACGTTTTATCGTTACGTTGTAAATTAAATGAATTTACTAAGACTGAGAATTGCTATACAGATTATACATTATATATAAATATCAGTCCTTCATTGCCATAAAAAGAAATAAAAACGAATATTGTACTGTTTACATGTTACAGTAAACAGTAGTATACTGTTTTGTATACTACTGTTTACTTAAGGTAAATACAAAATAAATAGGCCGGCGGTCCGTAGTAGCTGTTATATTCAAATTTAAGGATGTCTATATCGCTGAATCAGCCAACAAAATAAGAAGTAAGTTTTAAACTTCAAATACTAGCTTATAATGTATACTGTACTTGAAGTAATGACGGATTTCCTTAGTATGAAATTTAAAGATTGTTTTTCTCGTAATCGAATTTCACTTATTAATTTAAGGCCCATTTACATGGTGCCAGTTTCTTGCCTGTTGTATACAATTAAATTGAAGCAATAAATGAGTTGCATGGTCTAAACAAAAAATGGTCTAAACAATTATTGCGCGCAATTTATTGCATTCAATTATTGCTCTCGTATGTACAAGAAAATGGCATCGTGTAAATGGGCCTTTATTCAATAGTGACGGTTCTCTATCGCTTAAAAATATCTGTAAGCAAATAAAATGTTACAAATGAATGTAAATTAATCATTGTTTTAGTTTTCAAGAATGAATACATATTTGGAGACTGCAAAAACAAAAACAATATATTGTACCATCATGTTTACAAATATGCGGAAGAAGTACAAAAGGCTTCTATAATACGGGTAAGGTATTAGAATTTATATTACTGTAGTAGACTTATGTTTGGCATATAAATTTTTGATACTCGTATGAATCACCGGCTTGACTATGGTAGAACTTGTCCTCTTAGAAGTAAAGTAACAGCAGCTATATATGCTATGCTAGCAGTGGCGGATTTGTAGTCTTGGCTGCCCTAGGCTCCAGCCCATGTAGTAAGTTCCAGCCGCCCCTTTCTCAGAGCCCATCATATATCTTGTTATCATTGGTGAATTTATTGTCACGATTGGCCGCCCCTAATATGAGGCCACCCTATTGGGCCTTAGGGCAAATCCGCCACTGTCTGCTAGGAAGAGATCCGGTACAGACACAGACAGTATTACGGCGTAGTCCACCACGCGACCTCACTGTGGATTGGCAGACTTCACATATATTTTAAACATTTTTTTTGTTATTATTACGAAAATATGCAGGTATCACGATGTTTACTTTCACCGCTGAACACGTCATATGTCGGCATTTAAAATAGTAATGAACAATTTTATTGTCTCCGGCACCGCTATTTTGAATTAAAGGCGAGCCCGACTGAGCTATCACGGTGTATATTTAATTTTGTCACGGTTTAAGTTTTCACGTTCCGCCTCGGTAACTGGCAGTTCACTTCATTGAGGCTTGTAAAGCGTCTGCAACACCATTGCGGTTCTGCCTTTTATTAATGGTAATAATCGTTTTAAATTTTTGTTTTAAAATATACTCTCAATCGTAAAGGAATCTGTTACAATTATAAAACTGGTAATAATTCTCTGAATAGTGTACATACGATTGGTGATTTAAGTCATTGAGATGGTCGGTCACATTCTTTATAACAGGCATTGAAAGATATTTTTTAATATATATTATACCGTAATCTCGGCTTCTACTAGTAACCCAGTAGAAAGTTGTCCATCTTGTACTTCCTATTTACTTCCCATTTCTTTGATTTTGCTTGATTTTAGTTGTTGCGGGTGGGGAACCCTTTCTACAAAAATTATTTGAGACGCGTAGAGTAATAACTACATATTTGTATATGTAGAATAAAATATTTGTAACAACTTCAATGATTTCTAAGAAAAACAAAACTAAATTTACTTAGGTTCGAGACTCGGTGTAAGCACTTTGACGTTAAGAAATATTATATTTATGTCTACAATTTAAACAGTACAATATGCTGCCAACATTTATTTTACAAAATATGATACACAGACTTCCCGCTCTCCTCACACCTAAAATCAATATGATCTACCATTTCCATAAAAAAATACTCTTGTGATAATTTCATACCTATTATAATAAGCAGTTTTTTCTAATTAAGACATTTTTGTGTTAAATGTGTAATCTTATGATGATTTCAAAAAAAAAAAAACAATTACTATTAAGACTTTTTAGTACCATTTTTCTTTTATTATTAATTCACTGACAATATATTGTTAATAACGGTACAGCATATCCCATTAATTGCTGTAGCAACTCCCTTTAGTATACTTGTAAAGCACGTAAAGATTTTAATTTATAATAATTTAAAGCACCATTTGTCGTCTTATAATTCATTTTAATGTTTTACAAAATAGCTGTTATCCAAAGTAAAATAAATAAAATAAGAAATGAATAAACATTGGTGCTGAATGAGGTCGAGGAATTGCTAATGACAAGATTGAACAGCGGCAATGTGCTTTCTGTTAAACTGACTCTTAATCAAAAAACTCTATGAATTCTTAAATTGACTTTTATTTAACTTTATTTTATTTAAAACGGTGTAGATTTTAAGCACGCGTAACATTTCAGGAGTGGTTATGGTATGTCAAGAGAATTCCGAAATGTGTTATTCTACGAGCATCATCATACGAAAGTGACACGTATCGGGTTACAAGATATAATTTTGAAATTTGCGTACCAAGAGTCACGTTTTGCTACCAAAAGAAAAGAAATCACTACTACTATTACGAGTGGTACATACCAGAAGACGTGATAGGTGGTTTAAATTGGGATATTTACTTCTACGGTCCACCCGGTGAAGACTGGATATACACAACTTAAGAATTATAGCATATAAAATAAAATGTATGGAAATTTGTTTCCTAACCTACGTGGAAATAGATTAAAGTCCAGTGAGAGGTTTCCAATTCAATGAATAAATGTGCACCCTTGAGCCTCCCTATTCTACCGAGGGTCAATTCAAAGGGCAAAAGTTTTAAAACAGACTGAATAAATAAAAAAGTCAAGGAACTTTATTATGGATTCTTAAATCTAATATAAGCGGTCTTTCATTTGAAATGATTCATCAGCGATCAGAAAAATGAAACATCCAACAAAATACGTTATAGAGATGAATGTTGATAAGGCTAATTTTTAGTTTTTATTTTTGATTATGACTAATTTTTATTTTTGATAGGAAGATAATTTTACTTTCTCCTTCTTATTCTGACTTATCAGGCTTGAGGCCGCCTTGAGGTAAGGGAGGTGGTGGGACATTTGCGATTTCGGGATCCTTAGGTGAGTAGTTTAGAACATTCAAGTCATTAGGTTCAGGAGGTGGAGTAGAAGTTGGTTGACTTGTTGGAGCTGGTGCGGGGGCCGCTTCCTGCTTCGCCAATTGTGGAGCATCATATTGGCCTAAAATATTCGTTAGGGGATGGTACAACGGAGGGAGTCCGGCGTAAGGGTGAAAACCGAAGGGTTCGAAGGGATCGTAGAATCTAATTGATGGGTATGAGTACGTGAAATGTCCTATACTGGGAATGCTGTTATATGTTCGACTGATGGGTAAAACTTGTGGTGGTAGACCGAACTCGTTGAGTGGTATAGGCGATTCTGTGCTCGGTGGTGTGGGCGGTTCCTGTGGTGATGCGCTTTCTGGCTCAGGTGTGCTCGGGCCAGGAGTTTGTGATGGTTGTTCCATTGACGGCGCATCTTCAGCCACTGGGGCTTCGGTAGATGAAGCAGGACGTGCTGGTTCTGGTTTAGCATCTGGCTCCTTAGGCAGAAAAGCTGGTGCAGGGATGAAGGTCTGAAATTTAAAATATACATTTCTTCACACTCTTCACAACTATCTCCGTTTTATTTTGCCTTTTAGTAATGTTTTAGCTTTGTTTGTTTAGTTTTTTTAAATTTGAGATTGACACTAATGTATTAAAAGTTATTTAAAAATAGAAAGTTACATATAGACATAGATACATTATTCGATTATATTTAAATGCCTTAAATATAGGGTATAACCACACCAGTCAACTTTGGAAAATTCAAATTGTTTTATTGTAAGTACGTCTTATGAACGCCAAAGTAAATCGTGTCTTTTGAACGAGATCAATACGAGCAGTATAAGGATTCAGCCCATCAGAGGAACGAAGGGAGGTATAATCAACTTACATTGCCTAAAGGCAATTCGCCATTGTAGAAGAAAGGTGATTGAAGTGGAAATGTGAACGTCGCATCATGTATCACCGGCTGGTATACGGGGTAAGCTTTGCTAGGTTCCAGATTCTGATTCGATGTTATGAGAGCATTGTACACTTTTGGGATCCGCCCTGGCGATGGCGTGGACGTAACCGCTACTGCCCCACACAGGAGCTGGAAAAAGAAAAAAAAAAAATACATTATTAATTTGCATTAACAGTAGCGTTATAGTTTGCAAGCTCAGTTGGGATCTGAACTCGATCACTAATTAAAACTAGAAAATTTTTCTATTACAGGACAACAAAAAGTCACTAACGAAAGTGTTCTTTAAACTGTATGATCATGTCTAGGGCATATCTTATCCTTTAAACGAGCAATTCTTGTATATATATATATATATATATATATATATATATACAATCGGAATCTCGGAAACGGCTCCAGCGATTTTCATGAAATTTAGTATGTGCATAGATTCGGGGGCGAAAAATCGATCTAGCTAGATTTCATTTTTAGAAAATGTCCTTTTATCCCTGTTTTCAGGGAATGAAAAATATAATTCGAATATGACGGTAAATTTCGCCGCAAGAGAAAATGTCAAAATAGCTTGGTCGGTAATCGGGCGGCAACAAAACAAACGGCCGTGGTTCGCGCCACGATCAGTTACACATTTATTTTTTTACTTTTTTTTCGATTCCATTGATCATTGCTTTCTTTATTTTTAATTTTTTGTCGATTTGTTCTTTTTTCCCCTTTTTTTTAAAGTTCTTTCTTTTGTGAAAAACATCAGTTCATATTTTCATATTATTACGTCGGTAAGATCGAAAAATATTATGCCTATTTCATTACTCAGTAATTTGTATCAAAATGTAATTTCCAAAATACACGATTTACCAAAAAAAAAAACAAACCGAGCAAAGCTCGGCCCTCCGGGTACTACTACTGAATGATGGATGGTAGAGTCTCGTTTACTACAACAAATTTTATTAAAGTCTGTACAGTCCCAAAGATTAAGTGAAGCGAGATTTAAACACCTTCCAAATTGGATATAATTAGGTAGAAAAAGTTACGGACAGAAGTGACGGAGCTTAGACTAGAAAACTGGCGATCAAACGCAAAACACAACAGCCGCTAAAAGCAAACCACGCAATTACACATCTGAGATAGATGTGGACTGTGCAATCCACATCTATCTCACGAGGCATGTGGGTTGCACAGTCACACGAAAAATGGGCAATATAACGAAAGTAATTGTGGAAATCGTCTGCAATATATGCAATTGTAAAATTCCAAAACATTGTCGCTCCTTAAACTATGAACTTCATAATAGGGATCGCATATTTAAAGTAATTCAATATATTAAACAACGTCTGTAGACGCGAGTTTCAATCTTGTCTATATCAGTTAATGTCAGTTTACTTATGTTTCACTTAACGGTTTAACGGTCGTCTTTTCCCCGATGGTCGATAACTGATTCAGTTAAATGTATAATTTTCTCGACTGCTAGAGAAGGAAACCAGTTTTTTGAATTGCATTAAGCGTTGACTGTAACACGAGCAATTACATGTTGCCTTGAGCATAAGAGTACGTGTAGCTTGAGTGACACATAGTTTGGCCGCCTGGTTGAACTTTTGCGAACGCACCAATATCTTACGTTCACCGTTTTATTTTTTTTCCTCTTATTAAATTTGTACCCATATCGATCACTCATAAAACAAAGCGTGTATTGCTATGGGCAAGGTGATTTCTTTCACCTTTGAAGGTCCACTAATGTCTTATATAACAGCGACATTTTCATTTGTAAGTTTATATTGTATAGATATTAGCATATATACATTATATATAATATATATTAACACTCATTAAGGATATATAATACTGAAGTATGGGATGTAAAATACTAAACTATTTTGTTTTCTAGTTAACTTATTTATTTAGGCGGATTCTATTCCCGCTTATAGTATTCACTTCTTGATCTTATGTATTCACTTATATTCTGTTTCTCATTTATATTTTAAAACTGTAAGATAATATTTAGACAAACGAAAATCCCGAACAGTTATCGATAATTTAAAGAGCACTTAATAGAAATCCTAATTTTTGTGCTCACCAGTAATTGATGTAGGTATTTAAATATACCTGACGCGGCTGCATTTGACATGTTATTATGCTATAAATACAAAAATGTGTTTTTTTTCTTCATTGAACGGTGTTGGGTAAATACCGGTGTTATCATTCAAATACGATGGTATTAAAGCATAAAGGATGACGCATAAAGGATACGTGCGAAAACAGTGATATATAAACAATTTCAATGTAAATTTTCTTTTTGAAAAATCGAAAATGTGTCGTTTATGTTCTCCACTTGAAACACAATTTCATTGTACTTGAGAAAGAAAGTAACGGATAAATGAGCAAAAATAAAGTTCCATCCTATTTTGAAAGCATATGTCCCACTGCTGAGCAAAAGCCTCCTTTGTACAAAGGGTATAAGGGCAAGGTTCACCATGCGACCCCACTAAGGATGGGTTGCTACGGATCTCTTTTTTATGTGAAAAGATGCCAAGCGAGCAAGTGGTTCACCTGATGTTAAGTGAATATCACCGCCCCTGGACATCTGCTACACCCGAGTGTTTGCAAATGCGTTGACAACCTTTTGAAAATTGGGCTCCGGCTACCGCACTCACCAGACGAAACGCGGTAGTATTATACTTCCACTTTACGCCGGTCTTCTGTGACGTCGTGGTACTTACCTGGACGAGCCTGCCCATTTGTGCAACAGCCGAGGCTGCGGCGTGTCCCTACCACCGTAAAAATATGTAAATGCTCCGAAATAAATGGAGTAAAAAGAGGATAAAACAAAAAAAATATTGAAACTATGTAAAGAAAGATAATTTAATCACTTTCTATTAATAATTAAATAATAGTAATAAACCTGATATTAAACTTTATCCTCGTTTGTTTCATTGATGGTGATTTTGTGGCAAGGTACATTATCATATTATATCTTCCTTAATTCTTTGTCAAAATTAATGCTTCAAACATTTTTCGTAGATAGCGGACAAGATAAGCCTATGTTCTACGCAATAAGCGAGAATTATGAAAAGTCTAAAAGATAATAAAATAAATTTAATTTAATAAATTAAATTTTTTAAAAGTTTATGTCCTAGACTTAACGCCGCCACTGGTAACAAGAGAGCTGGTTCTTTTCTCGCTCAAAAGTTAAGCATAACTATTCAGCGAGGAAATTCAGCTAGCGTTCTTGGTACCATGCCGCGTGGATTAGGTTTTTTAGATAATTGTAATAATAATATTTATCTAATATTTACAAGATTAAATGTAATTTTAGATACATATTTCATTTTTTTTATTTTCTATATTACATTAGGAAACGGTGAACTTAATTACACAGTCATAACGGTCTAAAATGTTAAACTTCAATTGAACAGCCCGCTTTCAGAAATTTTATACCCCAATTTTTTGTGGCAACTCTAGCCTATAAGGTTTAAGAGACCCAGGAAGTCTTCTTGATTTCGTGTCAGAGCTCACATTGTTGTGTTGTAATTCTTGAAAACTGTTTCGGACCTGAACAACCAAATTTCTTAGCATAGTTCAACTGTGCATGCCATTATCTGGTCTTCTAATGTTCTTGCCGGTCTCTTCGAATCGCTGGAAAGCTCGTCTTAAAACATAAGTGAAATTTATGTTCTTGTTCTAATTTGGCACATTGTTATTTTTCGAAACTCTTAATTTAATTTTTTTAAGCTGCAACTCATACAAAAGAACTGTCTTTTCAGATTTAATATAAGCATTACCAATCCACTTATAACATACTATTTATATGACCGATATATGTAAACAATTTTGAACGATATCGCGATTTTTCTATGTAGTGCGTAATTTTTGAAGCTCAGTGTATATTAAATCACTCAAGCTATGTATATGCTTGCCTATAAATAGATATAATCTTAATTTTTTTATATCCTCCAAATCAAAAACTTGCTTCATTGTCAAATAAATTTTAAAAACCGGGATTGCACCAGCAGACAACCGACATTTCTGTCTTTATATACATAAATATGATTTCTATGGTGATCGTGTGATATCACCATAGAGATTATATACACTGTAACAATTTGTTCGCTCCCTGTTACTCACTCACATACTCTATATATGCTCAGTGTTCCCTGTAGGAGGTTAAGCAGTAATTAATATAATAGCACCTGCTATTATAATAATTACTAACCTTCTTTGAAATAGTCAGAGTTCCATAGTTATATATAATACAAAAACCTAAGAAAGAATAACTTAATAATTTAATTTGTGAATAGTTATTTTTGTTGGTAATAAGGAAATACGATCTTTTATGAGATGCTAATTACAATGTATAACTTAAATGCAGTGAGAAATAAGTCTATTTCAATAATAACATTAACAAAATACTGAGGGTAATAAAATATATAATACAATTCATTAGCAGTAGCAACTGATTTTAGAATTAAAAACAATTTATTCAGATTGATAGGGAAATAGTGCTTATATAATGGCGGTCAACTGTTGATTGATTTTAATAAAATATGTAACTAAGGTTTGTCACATGGATTAGCATATACGTTATTTTTTGTGTATGTGGTTTTGAAGCCAAGTTTACAGATTGCTTCAAGCAACTTGACGAAGTTAAAGCTAACTCAAAACATTGTAAGCTAATATAGGTAGGTACGAAGTCTTGTAAAATATTGCTAGATGCCCCTGAGATTTGCCTAAAAGAATCAAAATTCTCACACTTTTAGGCGATAAACGCGTGGCCGAGGGCCATGCCGGGTCATTGCCAAGCTTTGTCGCAACTGTTTGCCTAATCGTAATACATTATTCTGCTTTTGAGCTATAACCCATACTTGACGCAATAACAATTAGCTGAATAACCTAGTTAAAAAAATACAGTCAACGTATGCGCTTTTGTAAAAAAAAATCACGGCAATTTAATTGTTATTTTGCGCCATTATTCACGCAAAAAGTTTGGAATAATGATAAATATTATTTTTGTGTATTTTATTGACATAGATACGTCGCCGATTTTTACATATGCTTTCATAATTTATACTAACATCAGCATCGTCTTATTCTAAGAGTATTTCTAGAGTGTCTGCATCTACTATTACTTTTTTATACTTCAAATAATTATAAAAAATTTTCAACATAAAGTAGGTAATCCAACATTGCAAGAAATAAATTATTATAATGTTCATACGAGAATGTACTTTCCGTTAGTCTCGAATATATTTTGGCGGTGAACGGCAGCCAGCGATATAGAAAGGATAAAATTCTAGAGTTATCTACTGTTTATACGAAGGCTACCACGACTTCTTAGTTAAGCTGCACCTACTATATGTATTGATTTTTTCCCTCTATAAATACCAGAACATATAAACCAATAACAACAGAATATTGAAAAAAACCGAAATTAACACGAGAAGTGTAGAATACGTGTCTTATAAATACGCATAATCATAAAGATTAAAGTGTTGCAGTAAATATTATTCAAGGTCTTTGCGTTGCGACATAAGTTAAGGCATATTTAATTAGAAACTGTCCATGTAATTTACTCAATACGCAACTAGCAAGAATGTTGTCAGAGAAACTGGTTAAACATAACAAAGAGCAATATATTAGAGAACCAGAAAGAGACGATTTCATTGTAAAATGCCGAAAAGATCGTGACAGTCAGTTGACATCGGAAGGTTAATCAAATAAATGAAATAATGGAGAGGAATTATTATCACTTCTGAAGTCAAATAATCACGAGGACAATAGATAAAAAATATAAAAGCCTCAAATAATGAAATAACTGATTTCTTCTATAAACTCTCATTTACATACATTTATACTTAACTCTCGCTTTGTGTATTTATATCGTTTTTAAGATGGCATTAAGATGGATTCAAAGGCGCAAACTAGGAAATTTTATTGACTTGTAGTTAATACGTTCGTCTATAGCAAATGTTAACTAAAATCAGTTGTCGAACTGAAATACGTGATCTATATCGGAAACGATTCAGGGCTAATACTGGGCTATTTTTAGATATGTGTAATATTTACGCAATCCGATTAAAATTTTCTAATGACGGTATTTTTTTAATAAATCAATAAATGTATTAATTTGTAATAAATTTAAGTAAAGATGATAATGTTCCAATTTTTTAACCTGTCGTCTCACGCGCAAATCTGAGATCCTATTGATGTTTTCACGCAATTTTCTATTAATGGTAATATTTTGTAATAAATCTTGTATTAATTTGTAATAACTTGTAATAAATCTTGATAATGACTGTAATGCTCCAATCTTTTAAGCATGTCGCCTCACGCGCAAATCCTTGATCCTATTTATTTTTAAGTAACAAACCAATATATTCAATTCAATATTTTTTTAATTTGTTCACGAACGAATGTGCCAGCCAGATTTATTTAGTAATATTTAAATTAAAACTTTTTTTGTCTAGGTACAAGTTATAGTTCCTCGGAGAATCTCAAGCTACCGTGAAGGCTGGTGTGTTGAATTAAATGAATTATTCTTCTAAGCCGCTTCAAAATTATTAATGAGCAGCCCTGGTTCATTCGCAAGCCGGAAATATCTTACACAATGGTGCGACTGCTGCCCAGCCTTGGCCACGTTGTCGATCAAGGTCTAAGAAATGGAACGTGTTATAAGTGGCTATCGAAAGGTCGATCCGACGGCAGACGTATATCCGAATTGAGATTGCACTCTGATGTTTTTTTTTTGTTTTTTACGGGAGCAACAATTTATTGAACACCGAATATTTTCAATATTAACACTAACAAACTAACGGGTGTTGTTAATGTTCATGGGCGGCGGTAATCACTTACCATCAGATGAGCCTCCTGCCCGTTTGCCCCTTTTCTCCATAAAAAAAACTAAATTTCACGTGAAAGTAATTAAACAACGCTATCTTTCTCTTTCGCTGTATCTATTATTTGATGTTTGTATCTAGAGTGAAGTTGAAATGCGCCACTTTTTTGTTGCTTTAATATAGTTTTTGAATTTATTCTATTATTTTTGGCGGCTCAAGATTATGACTATGTCGGCGATATGTCGAAAACATAGACCGTTCAACTTATCTCAGCATTTGTTATAGGAATTTAATTTGACTTAAAATGTGTTTAGTCTCACAATATCTAGTAACTGTATTGTTTTCAGTTTTCTTTATATTTGAAAAGATTTTTGTACACGTATCGACATATGCCATATACATTTCAAATTATTAGCATGGTACGTATTTATAAAAACGGGTTTATCAAGTGGTTTAGTCTTTTAAATTAATCAATGTCTCTGATTAATCAATCTTGATATGCAAGATTGAATTATCTAAGTTGAAAATAATGTATTAATATTAAATCTATAATTATAAAGAGTATTTGATAATAGTGATTATAATGATAACAGACATCGAGATAGCATAGGTGAAAGTATAATTGACGTTTCCATGCATACTCCGAATCATAATAAAATTATTTAAAACGCATCAACTTGAGTAGTTTTTATTAGACTATGCCATAATCCACGTCTATTCGATACATTAAATCGGTACACATAATACGTTGCTTAAAACATTAATATATTACTCTTAATGCCAACAAAAAATTCTTTAAATTTACCAAACAACATCTAGTAATTGGCATCAAATCTTCCACTTCAACTTCGATCAACCAAAGTCGTTGATGTTCGAAGTTCTACAAAAAATTATTGAGTTCGGCACACAATGCTTATCAATTACGACGTTCTATCTTCTACGATACTTAAAATTAGCATAGAGTTTGGTCTTTTGTTGTACTTGTTTCAAGATTTTACTAAATTGAAATTGTAGGAATTTTGTAACGTCTTACATAGAATATTGTTTATTGAACCACACAATACATCTACATAATGAATTAAAACCCTAACCAAATTCCAAAAAATATATGATATGCATATTGCAATAATACATTATTCAAATCTACTTATAATGCCAAAAAGGCGAAATATTGTTATTGCGTGCCGATTAGTATATTACATAAAATCACTTATAATAGCGCCAAATGTAGCAACCCGATATGTTTTAGCTCAATTTTTGCATCACAATGTACTGCGTATAAATGAGAAATCTTCGTTCTTCGCAATCAATGTTAATGCATTTTTAAAATCTCCACGGTATTACGAAATGATGTGGTTGGAAATATAGGCATACGCGATTTCAACCATAATCAACATTGATCAATTCGTCTTACGATACGATGTTTCGAATGACGTTTTCTCTTTCTTACCGTCGCATGTGCATAGCATAGCATTGCAACTACGACGACGCATCTTTGTATTGTGCATTCTCGGTAGTGCAGGAGTCGTCGACCCCAGAAGTGAACCCATAAGTATGTCTGGTGAAATTTCCCCATTCTTTGCCAACCAGCTTTGATTTTAGTGCTTTGCATACTAAACTTTAGCGATATTTCGTTGCGATGCAACATGTTATCGCTTTTCTGCCATTATTTAGTCATCGTTGTGCATTTGTAGCGAAAGTTAACCTTATGACCGTCATATTTTCTCTTATAAAAATCATCTTGAATGAATATTGCAAAAGCATGTATAAGTAATGCTGTATAAGATTTTAAAAACTGCAAAATCATGTGGTAGCACAAAAACCAAAACAAAGGTTATGGGTATGTTTTTCAATCAGCCCTATTTAATAAAAATTCACCTTCAAATTTATATTATAATCAATATATTTATTATTATTACATTAATCAATTATGAACATGACACCGATGAAAAGTAATTATTGACAAATTATCTCAAACTACAATTTTAGCTCTTTGAAGAATTGTTAGCTCTTCACAGGTAATTTAGAAGCTTCTTAGAAAAAAAAATGGGATTCAAAGAACTGATTGAAAACTTTTAACAGTGTTCTACTATTTTATTCTGACTAACTTGTAAACATGTATATACCCGTATATAGAGTGATATGAGTTCAAAACAGACTCTTATTGTTGACATCTATTGTTCTCAAATTCACGGAGTCGTGTCTGCCTTTGTTCGAAGTCTACATTTATAGGTTGCCATAATGATTCTGAGTGAAATAATGTATTACCCATACTAGTTGAACGTAATTTTATTTGTATTTGAGACATACATTTTACATCTTGACATAGAAATATATTACAAAATTCTCATTTAACTATGTCTGCATATACTTCTTCATGTTCTCGGAATGTTTCTGAATTGATAAACGATCGAGAATTCCGTTTATTTAAATTAATTAAAAGTTAACAGCGTTGATAGGTGAATTACTATGGTAATTTGGTTCCCGAAATACTATGGGCGATCCTGCCTGTGGTTAAAATCGTAAGTTATGAAACCTTGTGCTTAAGTGAATTGTGAAATAGAATTTAGCCTATTGACCAGGTGCTATGTAATTGTTCGAAACATCGGAATATAAAAACAAATTGAAACGCCATAATATCCGAAAATTATTTAACATTTATTATTTAACATTTCAAAACCATTATTATGACAGACAGGATGTTTATTTGCATAATGCTTCTAGCTTTCTATATAACACACTATTTGTAATCATACCTACCAGATTAAAAAGTTTCGAACTACATTATTTATTTATAAGCTAGTTTGACAGGTTACCAATCGTTAGTCCCTTAAAAGAAATACAAAAATCAAATTGACAAGTTATAAAACTAGAACCATAAGTTTACTAACGTTTCCATATGAAACGTCTAGCTATATTTACTTTCTACCGCAAATAAAGAACAGCTTATTGTTGTTAAAGCGCAACAAGCTAACAAATCGCACGACATCGAGAGTAAAACACTTCGCGAACCAGATGTTATTCGGTATAGTTAGTATACAAAAATATTCTTACAGCTAATATTACGGAGTTAGTTCATCGACACGGGGCAATGTTAACTAATGGATACTATTTAGAACTCACGAGTAGGCACCGCAGTTGTGTGGGCATGTCGAGCGCGAAGTTGCGAGTGTCTGTCTGAGCTGCGGCGCGTGTTCTCGCTCGAGCACTGCGCCTTCGGCCTGAACTGAAGGTGACTAGATGTGACCGCTCCGATGTTTCGTCCTATTTATCCGACGCCCAAAGGATATGGGGAGAGTAAAAGTGAGGTGATAAATAACGGCTTTTCATATGAATCATTTGTGCACTATTCTCGTATCCTTAATATTGTTTCCGATACACAGCTTGCTTTCTAATTCGCTGTGTGAAGTTTTTTTGCGGTATAACTTATTTAAGAGCAATCACGTTTTATTACATAATAAGTTATTTTACGGTGCACATGTTGGGAGAAGCTAAAAATATTATAGTCTGATTTCCGTAACTTACCATGCAATAATAATAATAATAAAATATTTTTATTCACATTGACGCTTGCGCGTTCTTGCAGGTACAATAGTCTTGTTTTAGCCTACGTGAGTATCAACAGTATTAATCCCACACATTGCCGTCGTCAAGATATTCGGCAATAGAATAATAGGCTTTAGCCATAAGTTTACTTTTAATTTTTCGTTTAAATTCGCCAAGTGGCAGACTTAATATCGACTGTGGGATTTTATTATACATGCGCACACTTTGCCCCATGAACGACCTGTTTACTTTTTGTAGACGAAACAACGGCGTAGTTAGTTTGTCCTTATTTCTAGTATTTAGTTTATGTCTGTCACTATTCTTTAGATAACTATTAATATTATGTTTAACATACAAAATATTACAATAAATATATTGAGACGCAACAGTGAGTATATTAATCTCTTTAAAAAGGTCTCTGAGTGTATTCCGGGCTCCGATGTTATAGATTGCTCGGACAGCTCTTTTTTGAAGAATAAATATAGAATTTATATCAGATGCACTACCCCACAACAAAATGCCGTAAGACAAGATGCTGTGGAAATAACTGAAATAAACAAGTCTGGCAGTGTCGATGTCTGATAGCTGCCTAGCTGATTAAAATCAAGTTGCAGAAAAATGTTTAACTGTTACATCTTCCACTGTCTGTCCTAATTAAAATGCAACTAATTTAGGTACTATTACTCTGAATATTAGTTATATACCTACATATTACATTTCAGGTAATCAAATGACGTTCTAGTAAAGCCATTCGAATGTTACATACAATCCTTTATTTAAATACAGTTTTATAGAGCTATTGCATGATCCCAATTACTTTTTTAGATCTAATGTGTGAAAGATTTTTTGTACCACGTATCAACCACATTCATTCAGTCGGAACTATTCTGTAGGTAAAGTCCAATCTACTTATAAAATCGAAGTTTAGCGGTAGAATATTCGAGCACATATCAGGTTAGTTAATAAAAAAAATGTCTATTTCATAAACAATTTAATCCAAATTATCCAAAATTATTACCTACAGCTAATTTTACTCAAGAGTTAACTGCTCCGTTACCAGATGGTAGGAGTCATAAGAAATAAATCTCAAGGTCTTATTGTTGTGTATTAACTTTCAGTATTAATAAGGATTTAAATTGCTCTTACTCATTATTGTTATTGATTGTTTTTAAAAAAAATTGTTTCTTCCGATGTATGACCAAGGTCGCTAAGCTCAGAAACTTTTAAAAACAAGTACATACGTTTACTTATACCTTTATAATACAACACCTGACCAAGTGGAAAACTTAATTTTTTAACTCTCAATTTTCCTAACAACTTAATCGTGGTCTATAATGTTTATGTTTTATACCATCGGTCCTACTGGCCATGGTGAAATATAATACACTAATAAATTGTTTCAAGGATAAACGGCCTAAAAATGGAATGGGAAAGTCCAACGTACAAATTAAAAATTAATATTTTTAGTTTCATTTTTCGATTTGTTTTAGTTGCATTTTAACCTCTTATTTTTTAAGTACTTTAAAATTTTAATTTCAAGATTTATTCTACTGAAAAGCTTTGTATTTCCAGTAGGTTTTATTTCATTGACTGAGTCCTTGAGAGTGCACCCAAGCACGCTGCGCTTTGCTCTGGATAAGTGATAGACTCTTAGACTTTTAGACCATTAGCACAGGTGGGCATAGTTGCTGCAAAATCTATTATAGTCGTTTGCTAAAAGCAATTTCCACCGCTATAATACCGACACACATACAGATACGATAGATTAAAAGGTTTTGGTTCCTAAAAAGGTAGAATTATACTGTTTCATGATTTATATTTTATGTTATTACTAGATGACTCGGCAAACGTTGTTTTTGCCATATAAATTATCTCTAGAGGAATCGGAAAGCACGCATAGAGTGTTTGACAGGTTACACGGCCAACTGGACCTGCTGCCCGAGTCGCTGGATAAGTGGCGGATGTCTGTCAACGTCGACAAGACGTCCACCATATACATCCGCCGCATCAAAGACCAACCCACGCTTGAGCTGCGAACCAGAACGTCATAAGGTACCTTGGATGCCGGATAGACCGCTCGCTGTGCATGGCTCCCCAGATCGGACACGCCGTTCGACAAGCCAGTGCAGCTCGAGCCATGCTATACCCTATTCTGGCATCCAGGTTACCCATCAAGACCAAACTCGGGTCCGCTCGCGCTTGACCTACGCCGCTCCGGCGTGGTACGGTCTGGTTCGCAGAGGCGCAGGTTCAGGGCGCAGCAAAACCTCGCCCTTCGAGTGATCGTTACGTCCGGGCGTTACGTCAGGAACGACGTAATAGCTCGCGACCTGAAGATGGAGTCCATCGAAGAGTTTGTGGTCCGGTTGGCCCGTCGCATGTACGACAGGGTCGACAACGGACCACACACACATCTTCAAAACATCGCACCCTTCCACGCTCGTCCCGACGGGCGCCCGCTCCCACGAGAGCTACTGCGGTCGGAGGCCACTGGGGAGCCGAACCCGATCGCACTTCCGCCGCTGAGAAGACGATGTCGTCCACGCATTACACACCGCGTGTAACGCTGTACACCCGCCAGTGCCGCTACCGCGGTCAGAGAAAGGAATAGCCGTTGGCCATCCTCACCACCGACCAGCCCTTGCTGGTCGAGACTACGCCCGAGTAATGGGGATGTGGCACGCCACCTGAAAGGAAAAAGAATATTAAATAAAAATAATAAATAAATATTAATCGTATTACAAATTATACTTACATATTTCTGCACGAGATGCGTCGCGGCTGCGCTGGAGTTGGAAGCGCCGTTGCATCGCGCGATACGGTAGTGCGCTCACGGCTTCCGTACATTAAACTGCGTCACTTGTACCGATACGTAAACCTTGCGAATCCATTGCTAATATTTGGACAATTAAATCTCTGTTGTGTATGTGTGAGTTCTAACGTTGTGTATGTATATGTTACGTGTATTAAGTTTAAACAAACAATATACCTGTGCTGAACAATTATAGTTTGATTTACAAACGCGACAACTATTATAGGTTTATCTCAAATAGAACCCGAAACCTATAAACTGGTGACCCCGACGTGATCTGAGGACCTTAAAGTAAGACCTACCTGCAATTTTTCAACAAACAAAAGATGTCGCGTCCACGTGAACTCAACCCGGTGAAGGAGACGGTCCCGCCGCATAAGGCCGACACTGAAAATTTACAAACGGGTTCAGAATTATTTCGAGTCGGTGTCAAGGTGCCCCCATTCTGGCCGGATCGCCCAGCTTTATGGTTCGCGCAACTAGAAGGCCAATTTATATTATCAGGTATAAATTCGGATACTACCAAATTTTATTTTGCGTGCAGCAACTTAGATCACCAATACGCGGTGGAAGTGGGCGACATTATTGAGAACCCTCCAAAGGAGAATAAGTACCAAACGTTAAAAGCAGAACTAATACGTAGACTATCGGCTCCCCGTGAAGAAGAGATAAAAAAATTTCTTAGTAGTGAGGAGATGGGAAATAGAAAACCCTCCCAATTTTTGCGGCACCTTCAACATCTGGCTGGACCGCAAATACCAGAAGAACTCATACGCACGACATGGCACAGCCGACTGCCACAGAACATACAGCCCATTATAGCGTCGCACGGTGACATGCCCATAGAAAAGTTGGCAGAATTGGCAGATAAAATACTTGCGATAGCTGCTCCAACACCTCAAGTCGCAGAGATAAACGCCTTCTACTTCAGGCGCTTTGAACCAAACTTGGGTAGCGATGGAAGCGATGGCAAAGCAGATAACAGAGCTAACAAAGCAAGTAGCTGCATTAAGCGCACGTCAGAACCACCCACCGGGAAGGAGATTTTACCGAAGACGGTCAAGATCTCGTTCAAGATCTCAAAGCAGGAGTGATATTTGTTACTACCACAACAAGTTCGGTAGCCGTGCGTATAAGTGCACAAAACCATGTGGTTTCCAGCAGGGAAATGCCAACGGCAGGCAGCCAGTAGTGGCGGCTAATGACTGCCTTGATGAGTGCAACGGCCGCCTCTTTATAACAGAAAAGAAGACAAAGATAGAATTCCTTGTAGATACGGGATCAGACCTCTGTGTTTACCCGAAAAAGGCGACCGCAGGCCATCGTAACAAAACAAAGTTCGAACTATTCGCTGCAAATAACACAACGATATCCACTTATGGTTATTTACAGTTACATCTGGATTTCGGGCTGAGGAGAGATTTTACTTGGAAGTTTGTTGTTGCAGATGTAACAAAGCCGATAATTGGTGTTGATTTTTTAAGCCACTACAATTTGCTTGTGGACTGTCGACACCATCGCCTCATTGACAATCTCACCAGCCTGTCAGTGTCCATCGATCATCGGAACATAACCAGGGATGAAAATGTCACAGTTAAAGCAGTTTCTGGAAATTCACCATTTCATGATCTACTGAAACAATATCCAGAAATTACAAGACCTGCAGGTACTCCTACCGTACCCAAACATAGTACCAAGCATCACATCAGAACATCTCCTGGACCGCCAGTGAACGCACGCACGTCCACGCCGACTAGCTCCTGATCGTCTAGCAATTGCCAAAAAGGAATTCGAGGAGATGTTGCACAATGGAACTGCACGTCGATCTGAGAGCCCATGGGCGTCGCCATTACACCTAGCGCGGAAGAAAGACGATGGATGGCGTCCATGCGGAGACTATCGAGCTCTTAATGCGAGGACAATTCCAGATCGATACCCAATTCGTCATATTAATGATTTTGCTTACCAGCTATCAGGAGCCAAAATATTTTCAAAAGTTGATTTGATAAAGGCATACAATCAAATCCCTGTAGAACAGAGTGATATACCGAAAACAGCAATTACCACACCTTTTGGCCTCTTTGAGTTCCCATTTATGCATTTTGGATTAAGAAACGCGGCTCAAACCTTCCAACGGTTCATAGACGAAGTGACGCAAGGGATGGACTACGTCTACGGGTACCTAGACGACATACTGGTATTCTCAAAAACAGATGAAGAACACTTGTATCACCTACAGCAACTGTTTGATAGATTCAAAAAATACGGTGTACTTATTAACACAGCGAAGTGCACTTTCGGAGTACCAGAAGTCACGTTTCTTGGTTACCACGTATCATCTGAGGGCACACGCCCCCTTTTAGAGAAAGTAGAAGCTATACAGCTACTTGAACCACCTAAAACTGCAAGACAATTGCGAAGATTTCTGGGAATGGTAAACTACTACCGAAGATTTATCGCTCACGCAGCCGAACTCCAAAGCCCATTGAACGAAGCACTCACAGGAAACATCAAAGGAGCAACACCCATAAACATGACGGACAAGATGTTAAGAGCCTTCCACAAATGTAAGGAAAGTCTGACAAAAGCTACACTTCTGTCACACCCAGATGTACAAGCAGAACTAGCTTTATTTACAGACGCTTCAGACGAAGCAATTGGAGCGGTACTGCAACAAAAAAGGAACAACGTGTGGGAACCACTGGGTTTCTTTTCCCGCAAACTTTCTTCAGCACAACAAAACTATAGTCCTTATGACAGGGAACTTCTTGCCATCTACGAAGCCATTAAACATTTCAGGTTCATGCTGGAAGCTAGAGATTTTGTCGTATACACAGACCACAAACCAATAACATTCGCGTTTACAACAAAAAGAGACAAATGCTCACCAAGGCAATTCCGCTATTTGGATTACATATCCCAATTTACGACAGACATCAGACACGTGCCAGGCAAAGACAATGTTGTGGCTGATGCACTTTCAAGAATCGAGGAAGTAACTCAAGCGGTAGATTTTACCGATCTTGCAAGAGATCAGGAAAAAGATCCTGAACTGCAAGATCTACTTAAAAAAGATACCGCGCTGAAGCTAAAGAAGTTGCCAAACAATCAACTGTATTGTGATTTTTCGACTGAACAAATTCGACCTTACATTACACCAAGGTTTCGCAAACAAGTCTTCCGAAAAATGCATGAACTCAGTCACCCAGGTGCTACAGCTACCGCTAAGCTAGTCGCAGGGTAATGGTTTCAGGTACTGTTTGACTGCAATCGACCGCTTCACACGCTGGCCCGAAGTCTACCCGCTGCCGGACATCACCGCTGAAACGTGCGCCAAAGCTTTTGTTTCCGGCTGGGTGTCACGCTACGGATGCCCAGAATCAATTACTACGGACAGAGGTCAGCAATTTCAGTCGCATCTTTTCCAAAGTATTGCAAAACTTATTGGCACTGAGCACCGCCCCACCACCTCATACCATCCTCAATGTAATGGAATGGTGGAGAGGCTTCACCGACAACTGAAAGCTGCCATCGCGTGTCACAATGCAACTCAATGGTCGGAAGCGCTACCTCTAGTGCTCCTTGGCATGCGTGCAGCTTGGAAGGAAGACCTGAAAGCTTCGTCAGCAGAACTGGTTTACGGCGAGCCTATCAGACTACCGGGAGAATTTTTTAAGCCGGCGGCTGAACATACCTTAGATCCGTGTGACTACCTGGAACGGCTGCGAAAACATATAGTTGGTTTAGCACCGGTACCTGCATCTAATCACAACAAGAATAAACCATTCTATATACCCAAAGATATCTGGACAAGTAAGTTCGTGTTCCTGCGCCGTGGTCCTGAGAAACGTCCCCTACAGTCACCGTACACAGGTCCGTATAAAGTCCTAGAACACGGCCCAAAAACATTTAAAATAGAAGTACAAGGCAAAGAAATGACTGTTACAATAGACAGAATAAAACCGGCTTACCTCACGAGAGACGTCATCTGCAGGGACGAAGAATTCCAGATGCCAGTGATGACTACCGCACCCGAGCTACCACCCCCTTCACCTCAGCAAACTGAAAAAAAAAGACGAGAAGCGGAAGAACGGTACATTTTCCAAAATACTATCGACCGTGAACCGGTCTCGGTAGGGGAGTGATGTGGCACGCCACCTGAAAGGAAAAAGAATATTAAATAAAAATAATAAATAAATATTAATCGTATTACAAATTATACTTACATATTTCTGCACGAGATGCGTCGCGGCTGCGCTGGAGTTGGAAGCGCCGTTGCATCGCGCGATACGGTAGTGCGCTCACGGCTTCCGTACATTAAACTGCGTCACTTGTACCGATACGTAAACCTTGCGAATCCATTGCTAATATTTGGACAATTAAATCTCTGTTGTGTATGTGTGAGTTCTAACGTTGTGTATGTATATGTTACGTGTATTAAGTTTAAACAAACAATATACCTGTGCTGAACAATTATAGTTTGATTTACAAACGCGACAACTATTATAGGTTTATCTCAAATAGAACCCGAAACCTATAGGGACATGGCCCCGAGGCTCATTTATGCAGGGCCTTTGGCCAGCTGCAATATATCCTCCTAGGTCACACAGACATAGTTGACAGGTTAACAGGTACAGTTTGTAGGGGAAAATAAAATTGTTGCTATTTCGATTTTCCAAGCTATTTTTCCATAATTTCTCATCGTTTAAACCTTCCCTGGACTGCCACAAATATTTCAAAACCAAAATTAGCCAAATCGGTCCAGCAGTTCTCGAGTTTTAGCGAGACTAACGAACAGCAATCCATTTATATATATATAGATTAATAATTGAATACTATTCGAAGAACCTTATTTCACAAAATTTAACACTTATTACCACTAAAGAACATGAGCTCATTAAATCTTTAAGGTATATTTTTCTATTTCTTCAAACCTATGTTTTACCTTTCTTGTGTCGCTGTATATTAGATTGAATGTTGTTAGTACACTCTTTCTTATTTCTTTTAAACATTGCTCTTACTATATTATTCTGTGTAGTAAGCGTTTTACAAACATAAATTTGCGTGGACAAACACCCAGATCCGAAACAATTATTTGTGGGTCACATAAATACTTGTACCGTGCGGGAATCGAACTCACGACCCCCAGCGCCGAAGCCAATACCTTGAAAACTGCGCCACGGAGTCATCAAGTTATTAGATCTCAGTTAAACAACGTAGAAGCTGTTTTAGAAATACTATAGATATATAGATATGTAAAGTAAACATTAAACGCGATTTATTTCAATAGCTTCTCTTGAAAGTGTTTTATTTTGGACATTCAATTACCGGTTTTCTTAAATTGAAAGCTTCCACTCCTTATTCCATTACTCAAAGGAGAGTAAATATGAGAATGCCCTTTAACGATTTAATTCAGTTGCGGACTTGATATTACTAAAAGGAGCGCAATACTCATCAGTACTTTTTAAAGGCGAGTTTTAGCCATATTTGTGCCGCAGCTCGATGTCTTTGATAAACCTTATTGGTACATAAATTTATTCGAATACTTGTCTTCAGCGTCTCAACGGAGGGCACTCACATTTGATTCACCGGTTGATTATTGCATATGACATTTGGAGCGTACCAAGTTAATCGATGTTTTTATTGTTTAACTCGAACAAAGTTCCGCTTACGCGTGAAGGAAAACCGATGAAAAATATCCACATTTAAAGCTTTTTAACATTTTAGTTTACTTTAATTTTTTTTTACGATTTTAGTATACAGAAGTTAGCATTCTACGAAATATTTTTCATAACTCTGAATTATATTGTCAGCGGTTTTTCCTATTTCATTGCTATGAATTTTGTGTATTTTTTTAAACATTACCCTTGCTTTCATGCCCTTACTTTCGGATATCATTATCCTATGTCTTAAGGACGTTTTACAAACATAAATTTCACGCGGACAAACACCCAGATGCGAAACGACAATTTGTGGATCTCACAAATAGTTGTCCCGTGTGGGAATCGAACCCACGACCCCCGACGCCGAAGCCTATACCTTGACAACTGCGCCACGGGGTTTAAACTGTAAGTTAGTTTTTGGAGTAGCCATGATTGTTCTGAGTCCGGCCACTCCCATTTAAATCAACGTACATGTTATTTAATTTAATTGTAGCTTTAATTGCTAACTTATCAGATCAGTGGTAAAGGAAGACATGGTAGGGAAACCTGTATATTTTAGAAATGGTAAAAAAATGTTTTAAATACCCAGCAGTGGGACATATACAGGCTGTCACGCTTTACTTTAATTTGCTTCGTATAAAATTGTTTCTGCGGATACCATCAAGCTAAGTGGAATTTATAAATACATGCATGTACAGTTAGCAATAAATTCTTAAATAAGTTGATAGGACTGATAAAGTCCTATACGAAACTTAATAAAATTTTACTTCAATGGAGGTTAATCACTCATAATTTTTGCGAAGACAGCTTATTTTTCATCCCCCTATATGTTAAGGGGACCACCCTTAATATTTAGGGGGATGAAACATTTTTCAACCAATTTCACCCCAAACATTTTTTCTACCCTAAATTTTTTTGGCTAAATAACGTTTGCCGGGACAGCTAGTATATCTATAAAATTTGCGTATCACAATATTAGTTGCTATACTCCTATGAAACGGCTTGAGCGTTTTTTATGAAATTTTATAAGTATATTTGGTAGGTCTGAGAATCGGTCGTAATCTATTTCGTAAAAAATGTACATATAAAACTATGTATACATAATATAGAATATAAAGATAAATAGAATAAAACGATTTTATACTTTTTTATGTGAGAATATGGCAAGCTAGCTGGTGGTTCACCTGATGTTAAGTATAACCGCCGCCCTGGTACGTGGCCCTACCACAGCAATTCTTACAACCATAAAAGAAGCTGAAGTTTTGTTTTATACAGAAATGTTTTTGGGCATCGATAGACTACATTAGTGCTAGCAACTCTGGTCTTTATAAGTTATAAGGTAAGTGATTGTAAGATTCACCAGACGAAATGGGATACGGTAAAATTATGGTACTGAAAACCTGACCATTCTTGTAACAGCATGAGATGTTGCGTGGCTGTACTGCAGTAATGCCTTCACAGAAAAGAAAATTTTAACAAATTAGCAAATCAATAGGTTATATAGACCAGTGTTATTTCTTTGTTTATCATCTTAAAAAATCATTAAACAACGTTTACGTTATCGTTTTTATATAATTATCATAGAATAAAAAATTCAATCGAGATATAGTAGTTTATTATTTTTATTAATCCAAACATAAACTTTTTCCGCAATTCTAAACGATCCAGCCTCACTGTTATATATCAAAGACAAGTTTCGACACCTTTCGTTAAATAATGTTAGAATATAAATATGAATTATATAAAGATTCTCTCTGAGCAAGACCCCGAAACGACCTTCGAGGAGTGTTGCAGAGGTACTGCCAGCTATTCATTAATTTATTCTATATAAATCACTTCCAAAGAAGTATATTTTCACAAAAGTACAATTTTACGATTGTCTTTAGTACTATATAAGGTCTTAGAGGTATGGTAAAATACATTAAATTATTGTTTCATTAAAATGCAAGAAAATGTTCAACAAGAAACTTAAGCGCCACCTATTATTTCATTACGTTACTATACATGATAACTATTTCTGGTAAGCTCGTTTCCACAATATTATTCATTATTACCTGTAGATGGCGCTGTCAAGGGCGAATGATCCTGTCTGTCTTGGACTCGGTGAACGCAAATAAGGCATGTTTTATTTGCGCTTACTGCTTTGACTATATAAGATTTGTAGGAAAAAATAAGTGGGAGTGGGAAAAGCAGTTTTCTTTCTTTTATTACATTTAACCGAACATATTTGCTGTTTTGTACCATTAAATCATTCCATATTACAAATCAGTCTTAAGGACGTCGGGCTCACCGTCGGGGTTCCCGTCAAATAACACTATACACTCAGTTGCATCAATAAACACCATAAGTCGTCCTCGCCTTCGAGCACGGCGAAACCACAACGCGTACACTATGTACACCACGTTCCAGGGCGGTTCTCCCCGCCCCCAGCCACCAAATAACCAAGCACAGGCCATTGGGGTCACGGTCCGCACCGAACCTCGATTGCCCGTAGGCGACATGCCATAATTAACGCACGCATGAGTACATGCTGAGGAGGGCTTCAAACCAGTGGGTTCTGACTAGCCCACTGGTTCTGCGTTCGATGAAGCTTTAATAGTTTAAGGATTCAAGCGTAACATCAGTTATAGAAATATACAAACACAAATTACGATCAATTTATTAATGAGATTAAATTACATTCTTCAACAGTTCAACCTTATGTAACTGATTCCTATCCATTTAATTTGAAATTAACGTTAAAATACATAATATTTTTCATATTGATTCACATTGAGCCAAATAAAGTATATTGGACAAAGTCAAACATGCAGTCTGATGACCGCAATATAAAGATAAATCCAATACCATGTACCTTACAACATAGGCCAAATGTGAATAATAAAATTAATTGCTGAATAAAATATACTATTAAATATTATTAAAAAAAAAAACAAAGTGAACTATTGCGCGACCCCTTCATTGGACGCAATTATTTCATAATCGATTATTCTTATCCGTTTCATACATTACGCGACGACAGCAATTCTTCATTTTTATATTGAATACTATTAACTATTAATTTTCTTTTAAATGATAACTTCTTTGGGACTCTTCTAGGGTACGTTGCGCTTTTTTGGAATGGAGAAAAAACACGGAACTTACATGATCATCCACTATATTTATACCCAGATTTCCTAAAAAATGTGTCTTAACCAAAAATAGTGTTTAAAAGTTTGTGAAGCCAAGAACTTTTCACTTCTGACGTGCAGTGCTACGACTGACAGTTTCTATATATTTCGGTTACTATAAAAATGTGAAAATAAAATTTAGGTATTCTTACTATAGGCAATTTTGATTGAATTTAACTAAAACTAATGCATTTATTACTTATTGCGGTATTTAAAAAAAATGTTACCAAGTCTTAATTAACGAAGGTCAGTCAATGTGTATATATCTGTTGTATATGTTATCTGCTTGTTTCTCTTAATTAGTTAATTATTTGCGTATATTATTCAGTCCAGTCATTTTAGTTGAATTTGTTGCCGCAATTATAGACTTTTGATTCTTCGGCTAGAGGGTTCCGTCAGATTTTCCCGATTCTTCTTGGGCCGAATAAAAATTGTAAAGTACCATGCCTAATAGAAAACCGTTGAAAGTAAAAGTAAAATAAAACAATTCTTTCAAAGCAATGCTTTGTTGAGCCGGGATAGCTCAGTGCTCAGCTGGAAACGATGATTAAATACTACTAGTGGTCGCCCCGTGGTCGAAATTCGACCATAATTAATTATACTTGGTAATTTGTGTAATGTTTTTTTTATTGATTTAATGTATTTTTATACATAATTTTAAAAATATATTAGTATTCTGCAATCTTTCTCTATATAAACTATAAGCGTGGGAAATTTCATGCTCATCCGTCCACGCAATTTTCGTAAAAAGGGGTACAAAGTTTTTGCTTTATTATATTTGCTATTAATATATAGATTCCACCACATGTCGTTTGGCAATATCATCTATTATTGTATGACTATAAGGATCTCAATTCTCGCTTATCTTTATTTATTTTACTTCATCGGGGGCATGTAGAGGTGTTGTAACTGCCAGCTCAAAGTCCTTCTTCGTATCGTTTATTAGCGACCCATCTCATTTAGTGATATCTAGGGTCACCGTTTATCGTAAAATGGTAAATGCATGTAAAGAATAAAATTTATTGAGATTTATTTTACACAAAATACATTAATGTCTTATCGCCTCAAAGTATCTCTAATGGTAAATTATTACATACAGCATAAATTTTTTTGTGATTAACAGATTAGGTATATTGACTTAAATATTTCTTTTTCAGTTTTAAATGACATTAGTTTGTTTAATGTGTATTAAAATGGATACAATTTAATTATTTCATGTTAACATTATTTAAATAATAATTAAAAAGACTAATAGAGATGCACGGAAACGATGACGGCATATTAAAGTTATTTTTATTCGTTATATAAAATTTTACTCGACCTATATACATTTATTTACAAACTAAATCATAACTAGTATCACTCTCGGTGCTGTTCTCCCGACGGACTATTTTCTGTGGAACTCCGTCGTCATTGCGGCCATTGGTGGTCTTCTGTCAAATATATTCGAACGGAATATGACATAGCCTTCGAATGACTAGAAGGGGCAGTTGCGGGAGGCACACCACGAAGAATATCGCAAAGGGGCTGAACAGTATGCACGTTCCCAACCACGCCATCAGGAACCAGGTCGGCAATATCGCTACTTGCTCCAACATTGTCGTTCTATCCCCCCTCTATTCAGAAAGCGCATAGTTTACTACTATTGGAAATAATTATTCCTAAAACTAATCCTTTCATTATACTCGTGCGTTGCGCTTAAGAATTGAAGCCGGTACTTACGATCGCCATCTGTAAAAAAATAACACTCATTAATTTCGACATTTGTTATTGTTTATACATAAAATGGGGAATGGCCTAAACGTTGTATGTTTTATAATATCGTTTGATACTGCGATAATTACTGGAATTCTAAAACAGTGATATTTCATTATCAATAATAATTAGGACACTTAACAAATTAAGGTGCCGGTATAATCGCGTTTGTAATAACACATTAACACTAATTTAGCAGGCATTTGTAATAGCGAAGTGTTCTCCTAATTATATCAATACTGTGTTTTAATTGCGCTGTAAAAAGGACTGCATTAATATTTTTATTCTGAACAAATCATGTCATATATCGCGTACCACTTCTATGAATATAAATTGCCCTAATCATGGTATTACTCGTGATGGTCCTAATTCGTCAACGAAATGGGGCAGATAGTCGTAGTTTGTTATTAATACTAATGCTGCGATAACCTTTTCACGAACTATTCGTAATACTGTGGTTGGGGAGAATAAACTCTATCGCAGGTATTGAGAGTCAGACAAAAAAAATAATAGGACCTAGTCTATGGATACACGTGTATGTATTAGCAGCTTAACATTATTCGTATTTCGTTTTCCACACATGCTTACATTTATAATCGACGGAAGTTTAGTTTTTAACAACATTTAACAGGAAGACAACTCAAGGTTTAATACGTGAAAGATTATTTTGATCACACGTACAAATAATCGCATTGTTTTTTAAAATATTTAAAAAATATTACCATTAATCAAATGATTTTTAGTGATTTCTCTAACAATCATTTAATTTTATAAGGCTATCACGTGTATCAGAAGATATCAACTGTTTCATTTATAAATCTTTTTTTTACTAAGTTAAGATCAGAAAGACTACACATAAAAAATATAAATAGAAAATGTAAACTTAAAATCACATAGAAATGAAAACATTTTCTATTTAATCTGTGAAAATATATTATGTACTTATTTTTTTATAAAAAAAAAGACAAGGCACAACTTGAACGTATGTGTGTCGAAGTAAGTTCTTAAGTGATACAACAAACGAGCAAACGAGCCACAAAACACAAGAACAGTACTTGCTGTGCGTCATTAACTATGCCAGGTAAAACATTATGTGTTATGATTGCATTGGGATCTTCATACCAAAGATTTCACAACAGTGGAACAATAAGTTAATAGAAAACTTTTGAATTACTTAAAACTTAATGTAGCCTATATTACCAATATAACAGTGAAATTATGGCCCAAACATGTTTTTTCCTACGACCCCTCGTACCCCGTGGTATAAATCTAAAACCTTTATGCATTATATATGTATATTTTTTTTTAAAAATGTCAAAAATCGTAATTGTCTGATCGTATGATGCTGTTAACAATGTTAGTACTAATTTGGAGTTCCTCAAAACATTAAGAAAGGTGAAGTTTTTTTGCAACGTTCATCAAATTCCATTTAAAAAAAAGGGTGTGCGTGTAACCTTTACGCGCGATTGAAGTAAAACTTCTTTGGCGTTGACGGCATATATCACTGAAATGATTAAATATTTAGTAACGTCATAAGTATATGTCATATTTTAAAAATATGACACATACTTATGACGTTAGTTCCGTCAGAAAAAGCGTTAGTTCGGTGAGAAAAAATCTGAGTTACTCCCTAGTCGCGCCTAAAGAAGTTTTACTTCAAAAATTAGTCATTATTCATGTAGCTAGATGGTTATAAGTCAAATTGAATGATATAAACAGTCAATAATTATGTATTTATTGGACAAGCGGAATGGATTGATGCCAAGTTTTGCGATTCAAATTAGATTTTTCAAATCACATGATTGGGCATTGTTACATGCCATTATAAATAAACAATTGAAGTACTCAGTACAATGACTATTTATTTACATTTCCTACCATCGTTCAGCATCTTTAAATAAATATTGAGCGACAATAAAAAATTCATTTAAACTATCGAATGCAATAAAATCTTTCTCCTGAGTCTTATAAGAAATGGTAGACTAATTTGTGCAAAGAATAGATTAGAACGTTTTTGAATACCTATTTTACATATTTAATACGTTTAATTTGTTTAAAATGCTGATTGTTTCGAAGACTACAATGTTGATGGTTACAGGATAGATAGATGTTTTATGTGTCATAAAAATAGCTGAGGTCATCAGTTGATTATTTGGTTCATGGTGAAGATTGTCGTTTTTGTGTATCTGCTAGGATTTAATTTTTGTAATTACTTTCTTTTAAAGAACAATTAAGGCATGAAAGGAAAGATTCATGGGAGAGTCAACTGATATACATTATTTTATCTCTTTTTATCATCGCCATGTTCAATAATGTCATTGCCGATGATATCAACTTGGTATGTAAGATATAAATAAAAATACTGCATGTACTCTTGTCCAAACGACACTAGTCACGAGCGAAGTAACAAAGGGCGGCGAAAACGTGGTTTCTTCATCATCGTACATTAAAATTGTATTATCAGTTATATTACGGAGTGAACGTAAACTTGTCTAACCATTCAAAGTCCAATATTTGTCAGAAGACGACGTTAACCTTGGGAACTGATATATCTACATGTTTATTCGTTCGTTTATAAATGTGACCAATTAACAAATACATACAAAACAACGGCCGCTTGTGACTTTGGTAATATTGCTGCGTAGGCAAGGCATTAATTCCAACTGAATTAATTTATCAAGATAACTACAATCTAGTATATTGTATCATATAAGAATAATAAAAACAGATTATTTATCGAATACAATTTGAAAGCACAACTCATCGATATATGACTATATATCGAGAGTAATACAAGTAAATGCATGTCATGATATTTTCCAGAACTCAAAAGACGTACTTTGGCTACATAAGGATGAACGAGACACCCACGATCTAAAATCCTAATGTCAATAAAGTTACACTACGACTAAAGTAGAGTTCCAATCGAGATTTCTTAAGTATTTGCTACGAGTATGCACTTGACACAAATTTGATTTGATTACACAAAATATCACGTTTAAAACAATGTTAGCTCTAATCAGTAGCTGTTTACACTAACAAGTATTCGATCGCACCTTTATTTACAAACATTCGATTCGAATCGATTCGTTATCATCCCTTACGCGTCACCCGCGGCACGTAAACATGGACGCGGCTTAAGAACATAGAAATGAACAAAACACACCGTCGGTCGGCAAATCGTAAAACAAAACACGTGCGTCGCTGGGCCGAACAAATTCACTGTCACTTTCGGCCTGGTGGATATGAGTATGGTACGTCGGGTCGTGGTGTTGGCACTGCGTGGTGCAAGCAGCGCGCGCGCACGCAACCGAAGGTTTCGACACCGGAGCCGCGAGGGCCAGCAGGTAGCTCTGTCTCCCTCCCACTCGTCGCGTAAGCGTCCACACTTGAGACCGACTTGCATCCACCAATGCAGCTCCGTCACCACCGGCTGGCCTTCTCTGTCCACCTTTATTGCTAATAAGCTCGCGTTTCGCAACAGTCTTACACTCTGCTCCTTGTGCCACATTTTGTCTGGTATCTAATTTAGGTCGAAATGTTCTCGGTGACGTGCTACCGATTATGTCCTTATGGTACTTAGTCCGCGATACAAAAGTATGTCGGCTTTGTCAAACGTTTTCTTGTAAAAAAAAAAAGATGTGATATCTTTGGGTTGCCATATCGCCGTTATGCATGTGCCATTTTTCGCATGTGCCATGTATAAGATATGACTTAGTTCTTTAGATACACGTAAGCGCTTATCTTTGATTTATCAAGACACACATAGAGCAATATTTATAAGTCAATCAAGACGATTATCGATATGTTATAGAAGCGATAAGGAGCATGTATTAATAATTTACATTCTTTTGTTTAATCTTTTTATTACTATAGAGTCTTTATAGGTCTTATTAGCACGTCAGAATTTCAATTTAATTATGATGAATAGCAGGAAGCAAGGGAAATTTTGGCTATATTGCGTTTCAATATGGAATTCCTTTTCGATAATATTTTATAAATAATTTATATATCTCTTAACAGTTCTTCTCACCAAATTTACATTACATTTCCAATACCACTTAATATATCCCAACTGCTAATGTGTCATCTTGTTATATTTAGCTTTTAATTCGATTTAAAATTACCGATGAATTTAAAGGATTCAAGATAGTCAGCAACTTTCCCTTTTATATTCAAACAGGTTTGTTATAAGCCCTATCAAAAGGCCAATATTTTTTTCCCTTGAAACTGATCATTCACATTAAATGAGTGTAGATTCTTCTAATAATTTATAAATAATAAAAAGCCTTAACGAAGCAGATTATATTGATTTTCTCATCAGGCTAATTTTTACATTATGGGATAGATTACGTAGGGGGAAAATTATGGACTTTAGAGTATTAATCAGGATCTTTTCAATCAAGAAATTTCAGATTTTGAACCTTGGATGCACGTATACCGACTATTTTGGCGTTATAGTGAGAGGGTGTCAAGAGATATGGAATATATGCATCTGTCTTCTTTTTGGCGTAGTAGGCCTGGCCTACTCATGCTCTAGCATTGCGTATTCAGCATAAGATACATGTCAATTGTTTAATGTCGATACAAAATGTTGACTAAGCACAGATTCCACTTTGTCCCTAAGTAAGTTTTTGTAAGCAAAAATTTAAGATTTATGAATCTTTGCATAATTTTAAAAGAGTTTTAGGAAAACTGTACTTTTTTTATGTTTAAACTATAATTTCATTAGCAAATACATCTTTCAGTCTTTCATTGTCATAAAATTTACTTTATGTTCATTTAGTGAAAAATTATTTTATTAACGAAAAACAAAACCAACTGCAAATATCTCGCTCTGTATTCATTTTATAATTGATTTTCAGGAGTCCCCTTCGTATCGCCGGAGTCCAAGATCTAACACCAATGAAATTAATATGGGACCACATGGGTAGCATCAGTTTTCAAATAAAAAAAGAATCATCAAAATCGGTTCACCCAGTAGAAAGTTCTGAGGTAACAAACGAAAAAAAAAATACAGTCGAATTGAGAACCTCCTCCGTTTTTGAGGTCGGTCTCAACCGACTTCAAAAAAGCACTGTGATATAAATGTGTGTAAGTAAAGGATCGAGCCATATTTGCAAAAATGACGTCAATTATAAAGTGTGCGTATAAAAGGCAGCGCGTATTATACTGTATCGCATGTAGAACATTCTAGATTGTACAATTGAATTTGCCCAGACGCATATTTGTTGCGAGAAGTAATTGGCATGACGCAGTTCAACTGTCGGAATGCCCGACTAATGACAATAGATGGTCATAAGTTAACGCTTTTTAAACTGAGAAAACGTTCAATGAACTGTTATGGCGCCAAGATATATAGAGTAATTTTTTCGTCTTTGGAGTATATTACTTCCGAATACTTCTTAACCACTTCGAAAAACCTTGTAGTCAAGGTTTTATTACTCGTGGACTAACTTAATCAATTCATTATAAGACCTCGAGTAATCTATCACCTGAAGAATTTATTCAAATATCGTTAAAGGAAAATTATTCAAAGCAAGGCGATATTGCCACACAAAGGATTTGATTTTTTGTTTCCTCGCCCGTAAAATAACATGAAACTTTTATTATTTCTAATTTAATACTTAGTAGAGTTTTGTCTTGCGAGATAATAAAATATTAATGGATCAAGTTGTTAACTGACAAAATATTGATCAGTGCAATGAATTAGATTTAAAATTACGTAAATCATAAATAAAATATAAAAACTATTTATTCCTATTAAATCACTGATAAGCCGCAAACAATTAAAAAATTGTTACTCCAGCACAATGACCAGTCTACTTGTGATATTAAGCCTTAATGCTTAGAAAACTAAATCAAGTGTTGCAGGATGACAATAAAGCAAAATTAATCACGTATATATGGTATGCAGCGTTACGTTTGAAATTTTTTTTAGTGCCATTACAATCTTTATTGATCTAATATTTACAAGATTAAATCGATCTAAAATTACATTTACACGTTTGAAATGATATTTATCATAATCTCTAGCACCTTAATAACTAAACCATTTTAATTTGCCGCTGTTTAAGAACTAATATATTTTAGCTACTATTTAAGAAACAAAGACTTACTGATGTAAATTCCGCAGGGTCCCCCATGAATGTCCCACAAGGATCAATCTTGGGTCCATTATTATTCTTAGTGTATATAAATGATCTCCCCTTTTATGCCAGTGAGTTATGTGATGTTGTACTGTTTGCTGACGACACATCGCTCATTTTTAAGGTTGACCGAAACGTGTCGGATTATGACGACGTGAATAGTGCACTTTCGCGTATCCTCCACTGGTTTACCGTTAATAATATGGTGTTAAATGCTAAAAAAACTAAATGCCTTCTTTTTACCCTTCCCAGCGTAAAAAGGCGAAGTTTTAGCTTAACATTAAATAGCGTAACCCTTAATCCTGTTGAGTCCGCTGTATTCTTGGGAATTACAGTGGATTCAAAGCTCCAATGGAGTCCCCATCTATCATCTCTTGCGAACAGGTTAAGCTCCGCTGTTTTTGCAATTAGGAAGGTTAGGCAGCTATCAGACATCGACACTGCCAGACTTGTTTATTTCAGTTATTTCAGTTAGTTTCACAGCATCTTGTCTTACGGCATTTTGTTGTGGGGTAGTGCATCTGATATAAATTCTATATTTATTCTTCAAAAAAGAGCTGTCCGAGCAATCTATAACATCGGAGCCCGGAATACACTCAGAGACCTTTTTAAAGAGATTAATATACTCACTGTTGCGTCTCAATATATTTATTGTAATATTTTGTATGTTAAACATAATATTAATAGTTATCTAAAGAATAGTGACAGACATAAACTAAATACTAGAAATAAGGACAAACTAACTACGCCGTTGTTTCGTCTACAAAAAGTAAACAGGTCGTTCATGGGGCAAAGTGTGCGCATGTATAATAAAATCCCACAGTCGATATTAAGTCTGCCACTTGACGAATTTAAACGAAAAATTAAAAGTAAACTTATGGCTAAAGCCTGTTATTCTATTGCCGAATATCTTGACGACGGCAATGTGTGGGGTTAATACTGTTGATACTCACGTAGGCTAAAACAAGACTATTGTACCTGTACTATTATATTGTAAACCGATTTTTTTAAAAAGAGCAACTGTTGAGTTTCTTGCCGGTTTCTTCTCAACAGAAACTGCTTACGAACGTGTTAATTTCTTGTAAAATTTTGACGTTTCATAAGAACGCGCAAGCGTCTATGTGAATAAAGATATTTTATTATTATTATTATTATTATACTACCTCATTTATGTAATACATCAGCTAGGAATGGCATTAAAAGTAATTACTACGCGACATTCTTCGTAGCGCAGTTTTTAAAATTGAGTCTTTGTTCTGTATGCGCGATATGCACGGAACATGATCACATGAATAAAGCAGAAATGATTTTGTTTCATTCAGCGTTCAGTGTATGCATATTCTTTTGGTTTGTTTTTGATTAAGATACTTTTTTTCATTAAATGTTCCTTATCCATTGCACATTATTTTTTCTTTTAGGAAATAAAACTTTTTAAAAAAATTGTAGTAGAGTCACGCGGGAACTTTAACTGTAGCATGAAGTGCCACGACCTAACATAATACGGACTAGTATTTGCATTTTGTAATAAATCTGGTGAGGAAGATAATAAGCCAAGCCACTTAGTTGTCTAGTTTTGGGATTTAATAACAAAACAAATATATATTAAATATATTAAATGAAGTTATTTTACAGAATTAATCGCGTTTTAGTTTTGGTTTTTAACTCAGGTCCTTTCCAGCGTTCATGGTCACGGGACAGACTGAGTTCTTTCAAGTCTTAATATCAAAGTTAACCGGAACAGTCGTAAATTTTTATGTTATTTATTTTTATTCCTATAAAACAATATATTAACTACAACTATACTAACTGATATTTGAATATATTAATACAAATAAATTCAAATATATTCAATTGGGGTATTTTAAAAAAACCATGGTAACTATGGCTTATTGATGGCACTAAGCATAGTATGCGACCTTACTTAACTGTGCATTAGCTGTCTTCGCATTACTTCGAATTCATTTTTATATTTCTTTCCCATTGTATACAGGATGAATCCGCTTGTTAAATTGTAAATTACTAGTCCTTTGATCTTTGGTCCGTGAATTAAAGTCAAACTTCCCGCGTACGCCAACGAACGATCACAGAGTTCTGTGATAGCTTCTTTAAGCATATTTAGTATGTAAATAGCTATGTACTTTATTACTCTATTTATAATTTTTGGTCATATATAGATCAGAATGCTTCATAATGTATTTAAGGATTATAAAGTAATGAATTCATTATGAATAACTAAATCAAAACAACTCGTGCTTACATCATGTATAGATACTCTTCGTTGTTTTTACTTAACGGCTTTTGGAAGCCTCCAAATGGGGGACCTGTAAGAGAAAAATGATTGTAGATGTAAAACACGAGTACCGCTATAATATCTACCTGCGGTATTTAAAAGGTTGATCATTGGTTTCATCCTTCTGTTAATGTTCTATATTGCACACAGCGTTACAGAATAAGACTAGAAAATTTTAAAAAACACTAGTACCAAGGATTCCCGAGTACATTATATATCGACATCTACGCTAGCCAAATAATATTAAGATATGTCTTGATTTAAGTAAGTATATTTTATCGAATGGGAAGCAACCAATTAATAAATAATAATAGGATTCGAATGATGGCAACCACTAATTGGGTTTAAAACTAGAGAGTAAGTAGAGAAATAATTAAAGACTAATTACTTTTCTAACATGCACTTTTGAGTTTTCTTAATTGACTTATAAAATAGTCCGTAGTGCTTGAGCCGTAAGTGTGAAAAGGCAATTCACGTTTTAAGAAGAAACGTGACGTGACTCTGGGCGCGTACACGTTTGACTCGTATATGTAAGTATACAACAAATCAAACACCATTAAACCGATAAAATTATCATATGTAATAGAAAACGTGTTAAGTTACAATCAATTAGGGGAATTAGGTTACACATGTGTGTTATCGTTGAACAAAGCATTGGACAACACATTGCACGGCTAATTCTTTTAGGTTAATCGTATTTAATATGAGATATAAATTTACGTTTAATTTTATTCTCTAACAGGCGAATACCACGTAACTTTAAACTTTAATTACAGTTGACTACGAAATTATTAAATTTGTCATAGATAGAGAATAATCAGGATACAATGATAAGGGCTCACCTGATTGACAATTTTGTGAGTTAGTAGAACTTGTGCTGCTTCCACTTTCGGTGCGTTTTCTCGATTTGAATAATAAGTTCCATGGATTGTAAGAAACTTCCCGAGTTCTATTTTGGTTCGCGGACGCAGATTTACTCGAAGAATCCATTGTATTGAACACTATGATCAATGAAACTGCCCTATGAATTTGTTGTACTGTGTAATTTGTTTATTTCTTGGTTTATTTGATAGCAGACCGTCACACGCACCGGCTGATACTATAATAATATTGTGACAGGGACAGGCCGAAATAAACAGTATACCGGCGCGGCGGTGCAACGCAACAACGGCGTGGCTGTGCCAGTGAGCGTTGTTTTGGCCCGACATTTCCCGAAAGCACGCGGAAATACACGAAAGCATGTTTACGCGGACTTTGCCCAAGCGTGGCGAAGACGAAGCTTGGATTCGAGTAACGAGTTAATATTAATAATGACAGGGCATGGATACATAAGTGATGACGTAACAATGAGTGTTTAACAATAATTATTTACATTGCTCACTTTCCCATATTTATGAAGACCGGTATTGCTTGCTTATAGATAGTTAAATTTATTTGTAATCATTATAAGAATGTCATTTTTCATGTAACAATTTATATATGAGATCTCACAAACTGTTTGTTCTATCTGCGAGAGAAGATTTTGCAATTTATAACTAGTTGTTTAATATTGATGCATATTAAACAAAAGTATACAAAGATCTCCTCAGATCATGAATGATCACTATTAAATTATTCTGCGAATTCTGAAACTGGCGAAAAATATTTTTGAATGTTGTTCACTCGAGAGAAACATAGTGAAAAGGCTGGAGTAAAGTGATCAAGAGTTTGTACATCATCAATCCACTCTTTTTAAAAACTAAAAAGTACTGACAAGCCCAAACCATGGAACAGTGGACGCTCCCAATTTAAAATGAATAGTTAAACGTATTAGCGTAACAAAAGAGAAAAAACTAAAAATTTTATCCCCTGTGCCAGTACTATTTGTTTGTGAAAATTTCATTAAATGCAATTGATAACGGCTCAATTTTTTTTTATTTCATTCATAACGGTTTGCCATAAGAATACCGTGACGTTAGTTGTTGGTGATTTTGTCCAAATGCGCCATAAAACGTATAACTTCAAAAATGTTGCAAAGATAAATGATAAACTCTAATTTTTAAAATAATCCAATATTTTTGTATTCAATTTTATATGCTTTTAATTTTTTGCTACTTAACAACCGGATATGGAGCGACAATAGCAATACCAATCTTTTTTTCGGTACTGTCTATTACATACAATAACTAAAATGAAAAGAAATTATCAACAATGACATTAGTGCCTTGAGTGACATTTTAAAACTTGAAAATTAAAGTCACTGCCGTATTTATACTTCTTATTAATTTATTATAATGAAAATCCCCTACGTAGTTTCTACAAACACTAGAAATGCGTATCGCACGTCTGAATTTATGCAAGCTTCCGCTGGAGAGGCACCACGCAAAATTAGAGCTGATGATCTAGAATGGGACGAAAACGTCACGCCGGCACCGCTCACATATTTTGCAGTACTAGCCCTCTCAAAGATTTTCCATCACATCAATCCTCTCAATCGTATACTCAGAAAAGATGTGGACATATTAATGGATTTGTATCCAGCTGATATACCCCTTAAATTTAGCGTCCCTTTTATAAAGGTAAATTAATGCGGCATTTCATTTTTTTTCCGTGACGGTCCGAGTGAAAAGAGAATTTATGTTGTATGTATTAAACCCAAATATAATATAAATGTTTAGTTCTTTATATTTGGTCTAGTTTGAGATTTAACCTAGCATAACTAAAAACCATTAATTTATTTTTTTTATCTAGGAGTAAGTGAAACATTATATAACTGAGTCCATATTTGATTAAATGGAATTTAGAGTTCCTATTGCATCTATAATACAGCACAATAAGGTTACCCAGATCTTCTAATAAATGTGATGTCTTTATGCACACATAAAAATAGTTATTGTGTATTTTACGGTGGTAGGGCCCCGCAGCAGCCTCGGCTGTTGCACGAATGGGCAGGCTCGTCCGGGTAAGTACCACGACCTCACAGAAGACCGGCGTAAAGTGGAAGTATAATACTTTTTCTAAAATTTCGCGTTTCGTTTGTGAGTGAGGTGGCCGGAGCCCAATTTTCAAAAGGTTGTCAACGCATCTGGAACCCTCGGGTGTAGCAGATGTCCATGAGCGGCGGTATTCACTTAACAGCGGTATTCACTTAACGTCTGCTCGCTTGGCAACTTTTCACATAAAAAAAATTAATGTAAATTACCTTGATATATCAACTAATAACTCGCACACAAAAATAATTTTCTGACAAATGTATGATTATTAGGACGATTATTTTCAAACATGTATTAATTTAATACTGTGATATTTAGTATGATCAGTACTGGAAGAGATCGTTCTACACAAAGTTCCCGTCTAACGTCGAACTCGGTGTCACTTGCTGGAAAAGAAAATATCTGTCGGCGTGTCTACAGAGTTATTTAGAAAATGCTAATCCCGATCTATTTCTTGAAGATGAAGCTGTTGAATTGGCTTCATTGGTGATTGTTTTTTGTTTGTTTTTAAATATTAGCATGTGATTTAGACTACTATGTTGCTTATATTATGGATATTTTGAAGATTTTTAAAGATTTTAATGGAAAATTTTAGGTTAGCCCTTATATTTACCAACTAGGATTGAATCAATTACAAATAGTTCGTCAACCTACTCCGGCAGTTCCTGACGAAAATACTATAGAAGATGTCTGCGATTTCAGCGTTCCTAAATTGTACGACCACATTCCCCTGGAACCTGTTTTGAGACGATTGTATAACCTGCAGGAGATATCCCTAGTTTTTGGCGTCAACAACGTCGAGGATGGTTACTTGCCACGATATTTTGAATTTTCCATTAAAGATTGTGAATCCCTATGCAGAGGCCTCGAACATTTGAATAACATCAGAACTTTTCGTATTAATCGCAGCAACTTGGATTGCTCTAAAGTAAAAGTAATTCTCCAAAATCTTGTTAAAAAGGAGACGATCGAAGAGCTGGATTTTAATCATTGTAAAATTGGCAATTACGGAATGAAAGCCCTGGGTGGTTTTATTTACATTCACAAAAACGTCAAGAGGATCCGAATAGCGAACAATAGATTCAAGGAAGAAGGCGTAGCGGGAATCGCATACGCTCTACAAATGAATCCTGCTGCCCCGATCGAACTGATAGGCAAGTTTTAAGAAAAATCAATATTTACTTCAAACGAAAATCTAGTATTTAGTTTCTTTTAATATTTTTCTAGACTTCAGTTTGAATCAAATGTCGCTGCAGTGCGCGACTACTTTCGCAGCTGCGTTTGTCCGTTGCAGAGAAAAGCCACAAACATTGATAGTTAACTCGTGCGGATTCCGCGGTGCATCTGCTGAAAAGGTTGTAATAAAGTTATTTAAGTTTTTACATCATCCTATTATTTTTTTATGTGAAAAGTTGCCAAACGAGCAGACGGTTCACCTGATGTTAAGAGAATACCGCCGCCCATAGACATCTGCTACACCCGAGGGTTTGCGTTGCATTGACAACCTTTTTGTAAATTGGGCTCCGGCTACCTCACTCACCAGACGAAACGCGAAAGTATTTGTCACACTTCCACTTTTCGCCGGTCTTCTGTGAGGTCGTGATTCTTACCCGGACGAGTCTGCCCATTCGTGCAACAGCTGAGGCTGTTGCGTGGCTCTATCACCGTTCGATGTTATCTAACAAAACCTGTTTTGGTATGTAACATTTTTTTCAAAAACTTAAAAAAAATAAGTAAAGTAACAGTCTATACATGCCCCATTGCGGGGAAAACGCCTCATCTATACAGTGGGATCGCGTGGTTGACGATGCCCTGATAACCTCTGTACAGAGGAGGCCTTTGCCCAGCAGTGGGATATATATAGCCTGATACTTTACTTTTTTACTTTTACAGCAAATTAAATGTATTTTGTAAATAACACATGTTTTATTTTACATAATATCAGAAACCCACAATGTAAACTTAAATCGCAATTAGCAACAAATATTATAATTGGGAGAGACTATAAAATTATTGATAACACAATCAGTATTTATACCATTTGTATAAATAATTCTTAGTCATAACGATAACAGTTAGCGAAATATCTAGAAACTCGTAAGTACCAATAAGTTTTCCTGCTTTATTTAAGATAGCAATTCAGTTTTCTTTTGGTCACATTTTTTGTTTTCATTTATTGTAATCTATCTTTATCATCCTAGCATTAAACAGCATTTTAGGATTACCCGGGCAATACAAGTGTATTAAAAACGTAACATTTTTGTACAAAAACACAAGTACCTACATACTCAACTCTATTCAAGTACGCATTTAGATCATTTTCTTATTTCATTATTTTAGATCAGAAGAAATATATACTTATACTTTAGAGTGATGTTATATTTTTATATTATAATAATGATCTGTATATTATATCCTTTCATTGTATAGTCCTGAATCCACTTTAAGTTACCTAGAGTTCTTTCACTTGTATTTACGAAAGTAACGTATTGAATACAAAAGAAAAGCATTAGTGTTACTAGTTAAATGAAATTAACAAATAGCTATTTTCAGATGACAGGTCTTCTCACTTTAAACAGAAGCTTAACCAGGCTGGACATCGCGGCAAATAATCTATCTGGCGAAGCCGAAACAACACTGTTGAGCGCATTAGAGCGAAATAAAAAAATAAAAAATATTGATTTGCGCAGAACACGTATGTTTTGTTTTGAATAATAAAACGTTTCTTAAACGAAAATCAAGTATTATAATAACGATTTAACTAGATTGTACATTTTTCTTGGTGACACATTACAATGAATTCGAAACTTTAAATTTAATTAAGGATAATTTTTATGAAACAACATGTATATTTCAAATATATGAAATACATACTAATTTTTATCATATAACTAACAGGCATCATATGTTGTTTAAACTTCATTTGAAAGATTTTTCCTTATTTACTCTTATGAAGACGACCAATATTTGTTCCATGTCATGCTTTTATGCACGTGACTTTATTTATCTGAGAAAAGTTGTTGCTCCATCGTTAACTTTTGCAATGTTATTGACCACCTCTGTCGTGTGTTCTGCTCATCTGTCATATATGTGACTGATGTCTTAAAATAAGCACGATAAATATACAAAATTATCACAGCACGAGGGGATGTTATAATGTAAGAAATTGACAAAATGTGAAGGATTAAAGAAGGATGGAAGGAAGGAGGATATCTACTAGATTATCCCTTTTTTATTAAAATACAAATGGGATTACTTCATATTAAAAACGTACATAGATGTAGTCATCGTATAATTCCAAAAACAATGTATAAACCTTAAAATGCTAAAATTGGCTTGGCAAATTAGCAGTCAAACTGATGATTGAAGACTGATTACACATCGTGCTTTTATGGAAGACGGACTCTTTTTTTTATGTGAAAAGTGGTGAAACGAGCTGACCTGACCTGATGTTAAGTGATAACCGTCGCCCATTGACATTTGCTACACTCGTAGGGTTGCAGATGCGTTGCTACCTTTTAATGAAGTGTCCCCAGGCTACCTCACTAACCAGAAGAAACGCCGAAGTGTAATACTTTCACTAACTAACAGGTACACCGGAGTAACGTTTGTCATCGCTTTGTGATTTCAGATATATCAGAAGAAACCCTGGCAAAAGTTAATGAATTTCTAGAGCGTAACAGAACCCTTATGGGACAAGAAATAGAATCATATGAAGAAATACCACCTCTATATCTTAACGAACCAGAGTACCTCATATGGGACTATAATCCCAATAACCCCGACCACATACCTGGCCGATATCCAGACAGGGTACCTGAAGTTTAACACAAAAAATTTATTATGAATACTTTTGCACGCATAACAAAAAAGTTTAGGAGAATTTTTTATTAATAAAAAGCTTTAAAAAGTATAGAGAAAAGGTTTTGGTGTTGAGGAGTTTAAAAAGGTGTTTTTGGAAATAAATAACTATAAAAGCCTCAAATATTTTTATTACACTCTACAAAATTACTGAAAGGGAAAAGTATTTTATGTGATTTGTTTTATCCAAGTTTAATTTATTTTTGATAGAATTAGAGAAAATAAAAAAATAAAAACACGCCTGTGTAGATAAGCGAACTAAAAAGTAGAAAATAATTTTCAATAAAATTAAATTAAGAATAGTGCGATACACAAAAAAGTGTGTGTGTCCTTTATATACACGCGTTAGTAGTTCTATATTACGCGTTAGTAGTGCGATATTTCTTTGGCGCAACAAGATAAAAATCTTCAAAAATTTTATCTCTCGCCATAATCTACGTTTGTAGAAAAAACGCCACTGACAATACACATCAAATTAATAAGTAACGACACACTAATAGATACACATCATAACTTACCTTAGGTGTATCATTTACGCAATAACCGCACATATCTGTTTGCCTAGAATATTTACTTATTTTTTTAGTTAGTACACGTCATACTTGCAATGATCATGTGAACAATTCAGTTACAATAATAGCAAGCATCAATTTCCACACACATTACGTGTTGTAATATGCTACACTGTACCACATTTTTTCTCATTTCTTAGCCCGTCTACGGTTTTCATCAACATTGTCTTCCATTTATACATACAAACGGGTTAGATTAAAGTTAATATTTAAATTTTTAATTCAAAATAAAACTTTTATTCAATTGTTAAAATAAGTATGGTAACCAATTAAATACATATATGTTGTATCATTATTATTTTTATATACTTACACGTGTTTTTTTCTTTAAATTATCGAGTGTTTTTATGAAAATTTAAAAGAATCTCTTAAACACTCACACCAATTAATCGCTGGCTGCTTAGCGCTTATTATTTTTCGCAAAGATTTTTATTAAATAAGTCGTTATTAAAACATTTTTCACATTTATTTCCTTTTTTGGGGGTAACATCAAAAATATGAAATCGTTAAAAAAATTCGCCTGCAGGAAAGTCATACAGTTATATACGATAAACAAGTTATTAAACTTATTTAATACTTGTCCTGCGAGAGTTCATCAATACACTATTATTAATATTCAGATGAAAACTGGAATTACTAAGTAACAATTTTTCTAGAAGATTCTCTTAGTTAAAAAAAATGGCAACGCAAATTTTATTATTTAGAGAAAGCAAATTTACCCATTAAATTTGCATACTAGTAAGCTTTGGCTTTAGTCAGTAGCTCGTTAAAAATTGTAGTGAAATTTGATTTTCCATTTTATATTGTCAAGAAGCTCGGAGCAATGCTTGTTATCCCGTTCTCTAATCTGTAAGATAAAAGCAATTTATAATATTCGATTCACGTGTAACAACACTGAATGGATGATTTTGAGCGTGAGTATAACTATTATATATTATAAAATACAATTTAGCAATAAATAGACAGAATGTTATTAAATTAATAAAAATGCGTCATATAAACTGATACATAATTGTCAATGATCTAAATTGTAATTCTTCAAGTAAGTATAATAGAAGAAATATAATTAAATTATCATATATATTTTAACTTTTGTAAGAATTATTGCACTTCAATTTTTTCTATAATAATTTAGTGTGTGCTTGAGAAACAAATTTGATGGATTTTAAATTGAATTGTAACTCTTTTGTTCCATTTTGCGAGAAAAATGCAAAATTACAAAAGGCTTTGTCGTCGGAACGTTATTAAGAATTGTAACAAAATTTGATTTCACATTTCGAATTGTCAAGAAGCTTACGGAGGTTCTTGTTATACAGAACAGTTGTGCATTATATCTAACAGACGGTTTTAGATAGAGTATTCTTATATTTTTCTTTAACAATCCAACAGGGAAATACTTATCGAATTCATAAGGACGCTTTGCATATTCCATCCGCATATGATATCTTTTAATAGAAAAATAACTGGGGGCAAAACCGGCGTAAAGTGTAAGTATGACAAATACTTTCGCGTTTCGTCTGGTGAGTGAGGTGGCCGGAGCCCAATTTTTAAAAGGTATGCGTATGGGCGGCGGTATTCACTTAACATCAGGTGAACCGTCTGCTCGCTCGACAACTTTTCACACAAAAAAAAAACCTCTCTGGACAAACCTAATTTAGTGAACCGGTGATAGTTTTTGACGCTCATTATGATATTAAAGCCTATATTGCAAAAGAAATTTAAACTTACAGTAAATTAGGTAAACAATACATTTGACAATTTAAAGAACTTAATATCGGATCTTGATAAATTTGTATCAGGTTTAAAGCTAATTATTTTATAATATGATATTATTTATTAATAATATTTTTCAATGTTTACTATATGTGACTACGAGCCGTGATAGCTCTGTGTCCTCGCTCGCATTTAATTCAATATACTGGAAATAATTAAAAAAAATTCTAAGATATGTGAAGTCCGCCAATTCGCAGTGGGGCTGCGTGGTGGAATATGCCCTGATACCCTCTGTATAGAGGAGGCCTTTGCTCAGCAGTGGGAGATGTATAGGCTGTTACTTTACTATATGTGAATATGCAATTGACGTAAAAAAAATGGTATTAATTATGTCAAGCGTTTACAAATAAATGCGGACTAGAATAACACAAATGATAATCCGGAGATGACACTTAGTTTTATGAAAATGCATCTTTTTTTTGTTATCAATAATAAACTACAGCTGATTTAACCATAACTGAAAATAAAGTTTTAATTAATAAGAGTTATTTAAATATACAATGGCGGGCGTTTAAAAGCAGAATGTTCATCGTCATTACAATAATTATGTTTTTCATTTAAAATGCTTACACTAACGTTTTCATACATTATTTATATACAGGTAAAATTTAGAAAGGACTGGCTATTAAATTTTAATTAATGTCTTCGTTAGAAACCTGGTAAACGCGAAATTTGAAAAGTACATCATTTTGACTTGAAGCATTATTTTTTCTATACCAAAAAAGTCAGTCGCATCCAAAACCCGTATAGCTAATACTACTGCCGCATTTTTAACCCTTTACGGAGCCATGTTGTACTTCTGCAACACACCATTCCAGAAGATATAAAATTATATCAAAACGATAGATCGACTTTGCGCTGTACAACGGTAACGAAGCATACTAACAATTTAGAAACAAATCGGCTAATAAAATGTTGCTAATAAAGCAAATAACTTAAAATTAAAAAAAAATTATAGCATTAATAAAGCAATGTTGTTTTTGTACAATATATAGTTTTTTTTTAATTATTTTTCCCATTAATAAATCCCCATTTGCTATCTACTCTTTGAAAATTAATATAAATAATGACCTTGCGTTGTAAAGGGTTAAGTTTATATCAATTGCAAGAGTAATAAATTTCCTACGAAGAGATTTAAATATTATAGTTTAGTGTTATTTATATTGAACGGGCCATATTATATAATATCACCAATAGAATATTAATGAAAGGGTAAAATGACGTAAGCGTAACCCCTTCATGAAATCGCAAATTAATTTTTCATATAAAAACATGACTGTGCAACGAGAGATGCAACCATATGTTGTTAAATAGAGAATATAATTGAATATTGTTAAGAATTAATAAATGTATTATATTCATGTTATAATAAATCTATAGCTAACGAAATAACAACCTTTGTAAAATTTTCAAAATAAAAACCGACAGCCAGACATATTTGTTTATTCCGTGATATATTAGTTTCAATAGAAGGAGTTACTGGACAGCAAAATCATAAAACTTTTCTTTAGTCTTAATAGGAGATGAAGGTATTTTAGTTAATTATCTCGCCCTGTCTTCTTCAATACATGCAAAGTATTAGCTTTGTCAATATAATACCTAGTCGGGTTATAAGTACTGTTCCATAGTGAAAACTTCGGAAAACTTGAATTCGGTTTTCAAATATTTTATGAAAATAAATGCACTTTTAAGAATTTCATTTATTTTTAAATATATAGTGTGGACGCTTAAAGAAGGCTTTGCATCGATGGGCTAACGCACCAAATCATATTTCCGAACTAATTAAAATTTTGAATGTAACCAAAATATTCGTTCATTCTCCAATCAAACAAGATGTAGGAGATAGATAAAGAAGTAGTCACTCTCACACTGTTAGGTTTCCAGCAGTGAAAAAAGCTGTGAAGGCGCGAATCTCAAGAAATCCCATACGTAAGCAGAAACTGTAGGCAGCAACATGGGGTTAAGCAGAACCACGCCGAAAAGGGTGATGAATGAACACTCAGGGCTCCGAGTTTACCTGGGACTGAAGAGGCCCTGCGTCATTTTGAAGCGGTACGCGGAAATCCACTGTGAAATTCATTTTTAGATGAAAACATTTTTACCGTAATTGAGAGGTACAATAAACGATGAAAAGGTGTATATTGGCTGAGAGCTTAGAGTCCGGTCAACCCCGTACACCTCCGCAAGGTGAACCGAAGAGGTTAAAAGGAAAGTTTTAGCTTAAAAACCTTCGCCCATGCAAAGCACTTGGCGCAGACGGAATCACCAATAAGGTGACCAAACTCCTTCATACTAGTATCCTTCAGATTCCAGTAATAATCGACAACGCGGCGATGAACGAAGACTCGGCGATGAACATGGAATAACCTGCCGTGGTCCGTCTTTCCCTCTGATTACAACGTAGTCTTCAAGGCAAGAGTGAATAGGTTTTTACTGAGCTAGCGTGCTTACCATCAAAGGCTGTATAGCCACTTACCATCAGGTGGGATGGCAGTCAAGTACTGGCCAGTTCAAAATAAAATAAAACTTCTTGCCCTCCGAATAGGAGGCAGAACTCAAAGGGTTCCTTAAACCCTTGAAACACACCACTCCCCCAACTTCATATCGTCTAATAACTCT